TGCCAAGAACAGATCAGGAAATCAAAAGATGGTGAGGCTCTTTCCTAGGGCGCATCCCAATTTCTCGAGACTTTCCGGCCTTATTTCTCGCTTCTCATCTAGCGTTATGGTCGCGCAGTTGTGCATTGTGTCCGAAAACGTCAATTCCGCATGGACCTGAAATCCGACAACCTCCAACCTGGCCCGCACACTTCCCTCAAGTACTGACCCTGGCACAAGCCGTAGCACAGTTCGCACACAAACAAGCTGAATATCATGTTGGAGCTGAAAAACAAAGGAGATATCGTTTCTGCGCGGTCACTGGACTGCACTTGGAGAATTGTAATTAACTAACTAAAAACTGGCTTTTTTAGGTAGGCCGTTTGAAAAATTTCTTCAAAGACTGGTGGACCGCACGCCCATCAATCTATTAGAATTTGTCCCCTTCCCTCTAACAAGTTCCCCGAGCGCTATTACTGCAAAGCTAATATACATCCCTCTTCCCCTCCCCCCTGCCCCACGTTCAACATCCCTTTCCCTTTTCATTTTTATAGACATGCCAAGCACTCATCATGTCTTGCCGATCTTTCTGAAGTCCAATACAATTTTGTTGCAAACGTGGGGAATCAAAACGGCGCCACAATAATCAAACGGTGATATGCAATGAATAAACAACGATATTCACAATATTTTGAGTGGACGCTGGCTAGTTGGATCGAATGAAAAATTATAATAAAATAATATGAACACAGGACGTGGCAAAAATTTCTTTCCTATCTAGGTAGCCTCACGAGCCACTTGAGATGTCCCGGATAAAACAGAGTTGCTGAAAACAAATGCCTTCTTACTTCCAGTGCCTTTTGTACCTTTTTACGCTGCTACGCTAATCTTCTAACCTATTTTTTGAGTTTTAAAGTGCTTCAAACTTTTACTCCGCTTGGTTATAGCCTCTGGAAATTCTGAATTGCGCAATCCTGCTTCAGCTAACACGTGCGCGCAAGATAACATGCCCAACGTAGACGATACGAAAACCCATTGCTATTTAGTTGCGTGTTTGTTCCGTCTTTTTTTCTCCTTTCTTTCCTTTTTTCGGGTTTTCTATCTTTGCTTTACGAACACCTCATGGGACATGTCGTAATTTTGTTGCGAAATCAAGGAAGGATCGCACCCAGTGGCCGTATTCATCAACGAGCCTTGAGGTTAAATTCTACCTTGAGAACATGCCTCAAGGTAAAATTTAACCTTAAGGTAACTTTGCTATTCACAAAACTACCTTGAGGTTAAAATCTACCTGGTAGTCAGCAGAGTACTCACTGACGTTTATTCGGAACATGTCATGACGTAATAGCGGTGTATGAAATCCTTCTGATTTTCCACTGCCAAGTTGATATTGCCGTATGTCTTGTAGGTTCACGTTACAATGTTTTGGCAGGAAAACATTCTAAGAACCAAGCAAACATGTTTCAACATGGTTGGACTTGGCAATTAATATACAGGGCTTTTTAAAAGTAACAGACTTTTTAATCGTTAATATCTCTCCTTTCACATAGTCTTTTGGTTAGCTAAGCGCCATTCAGTAGCGCAGGCTTTAACTCAGATTCGTAGTATGGAGATGAACACCCGTAGCTCTTCGTTACTGTAGAATTATAGAATTTTGGGGAGGGTTTTACGGCTACATTTTGGCCCAAAATGGGTACTTATCAAGCTGAAATCTTTATCGCAAGAACAAGCAGAGTCGCTGATCGTGAATGTGAAGTTCAGAATTTACCGAAAGGTTTTTTTTAACTTATGCCATGTTAACCGCAATAACCTTTCTACAGTGCCGAAAATCTGATCAAATTTGTTTGAAACGGTAAAAACGCTCAGCAAGGCTGTCTAATAGAATTAGCAATTTCGAAAAACTGCTACACAACTTTCCGGCTTTTGGAGCCTTTTTGGATGGCCTATATCAAAATCATAGAATCAAAGTGGCGCTGTGGTTGGAAGTTCTTACCAATTTTATAGCAATCAAGATCGATGGGTGATTCGTACCACACTACAATTCTAAGATGTGGCCTGCTTTATTGAATGGTACTTGCAGCTAAGCAAAATGCTTTCTAAAAAGAGTGTTATTAACGATCAAAGAGTGTGTACTTACTCGTGGGACACCCTGTACGTTGGGAAGAAGGCTACGCTTCATGGTTATTAGAGTGTAAGCAGAGTGTAAGCAGCGTTGAGATAGAGCTCTACCATAAGAACCGCACTTACCGCAAGTACAACCGTGAAGTTACATAAGTTTTCCCAAAGTTTCACATAATTCGTTTAACACTTGAAGTGTAGTATATATTAGGTGGGTCTAAAAGTTCGTGCCGTTTTTTAGACTCATCCTCAAATCAACACAAAGACAGACAAACATCTGGTTAGGAATCCTTTGACGTTCGCTTGAAAAATCGTCAGATTCTTTTGCCTATAATTCCTAATCGCCTTAACTTTTGCTTTTTTTGTAATTTTCGTTCTAGACTTTTGGAGAAGTTTTAACAACACTCAGACAATTGCATCGGGAAGTTCGCGGGTCTTGCTCGGCCACCAATCATCCATGCTGCGCCTGCCCGGTAAACCTTATATTAGACCCGATAAGTGACCGCAGCGCATCCCGTAAGTGCCCGTTAGGCACCTACAGTTAACCCGACTACCATGCTGTAAGGCCTAGGAAAAGTGAAGAACTAATTAGTCTGTCTTTCACGATGACGACTAGAGTGCAAATTGAGCAGTTTGTTAGCTCATATGTCCACATCATCTAGTGTCGTCGACACACTCATCCGACTGCTGAAGTTTGTTTCTCAAGCTCAACTCTGTCAGATAAGATCAAATCCAAAAAGCGATAGCCAGCCCCATAAACACTTAGGGTAGCCACATCGCTGCGGCGTACCTCACGCAGGTTGCGCCTTAACCTACAGCGTGTAAGAAGTGCGGCCTTCGAAGGCCCACGGCCCTACGAGTGAGGTGGCTAGGCCGTGACCCTCCCGGTAGTTTTTTCCCAATTTCAACTTTAGCCGCGGCGTTCCCGGTAAAATATACATGGGCCGCGGCGAGCGGGGCTGAATTTTCAAGGGCCGCGACGCGCCAAGTAACACGCTTTGAGGCCGCAAACTTTCCGGTGCAATTGTCTGAGCAGTCAGATAAAGTAAACAAGATGCAATGCAGTGCAATTTTTTGGCATCAGTAGCTGGCTTTTCGAATTTTCTAAAATTGTCATCTTGATGCTACCATATTTGATTTCTGTTTATTCTAAACCTCGTAGAGCATCAGACGGCAAACAGCTAGGGTGTTGCTCGATGCAGCTTCCTCTCCTCTTTTGGTCAGATGTCTTTTCCTTCTAATCAAATTTTTGAAGAAAAAATTGCCAATTCTATTTTTTTGATACTTCCCAGGATGCATACGAAAATTTCAGAAACCAAATTTCGAGACCTTAAAAACACGTTTGGTTGTTGAAATTAGTGTTCAATCATAATTTTTGGAAGTCCAAATTCGCGAAGATTCCGTATGTTTGAAGCGTTTGTACATTTTACGACTTCGCAAATGTGAAGACTTATGGAAAGCTTGTTTCTGAAATGTTGAAAAACCAGCTGACGATACCAAAACACTGGGTTTTGCAGCTTGTTCGCTCTATTTAACTATTACCAAAGCTGTTTCAGAAGCCCAAAACAAAAAAAAATAGCTAAGCTTAAGTTGGAGATTGTGGCGGTTATTTGGAAGAACAGTAAAGGAATCCAAACAAGGATATCACTGCTGAAAAGAGAATGAAATTCTCCACGGAACAGTGCATAGAATGTATGTCTGTTGTTTTTCTGAACTGTTTGAGAATAGACCGAAATACGGCACGAACTTACAGACCTATCTATAGTAATATTTTGTCCCAAAACTCCTTCTCTGTTCCCTATTAGGATGAAAAGGATGACGCCGGTCCTTTGAGGAGGAAAACGCGCTCCAACGAACAACCTACGCAGCTGGCGAGATCAAGTGGGAAATCGTAAAAAATCGACAGTGACAAAAACGAAGTAGTTTCACGGATGTCCATTTGTCACCCTCATGCTGGGCCCTGATACCATATTGGAGGGCATAAAACACTGATTTTACTGCCTTCGTTACCTGCAACACGTTTATGAACGAGAAAGCATGAGCGTTTCTCACGTCAAACAAAAATAGCCGTAATGTGTTTTTTAGTGCTTCAATGGAGCAATGATAATTATCAGAGTACTTTGTTCAGTAAATATCTTAAGATTAAAATAGTTTTCACACTTGATAGTGCTTTATTTGAGGACTAGTAATGTTTTAGCGACTCATTTTAGTATATGCACATGTGATCTTTTGCTGCATACGCTCATAGCTCCTCGTCAAGGAATGTTCTGCGAATAAATATACGGATTTGGAACGTTTTCTGCTCTTCAACAACATATACATCCCATCTACGAAGGTCACTACAAAAAAATGCTTTCCTTGTAAGTAAACAAGTAAGGTTTGCGCTATTAGTGGATATCAACATACTTGTCTTTAACGGCTTCATTAGAATTCAAGAGGTCCTTTGAGAGAGTTCAACTGTTATGTGCAGAGTCAAGGTAGATTTTAACCCTAGCTATCCTAGGGTTAAATTTTACCTCGAAAGCATAATTGAAAGTTGATGGAGAAATGATGATTGAGGTAGATTTTAACCTCAAGGTAGAATGATGAATACGGGTTTATGCGTTTGAAGGTTCATTTTTACCTCAAGGTAGACTTAACCCACGAGAAAATTTCATTGCAATCATGTTGTGAATACTGGTTATAAACTAAAATGCTAGCTGAGGTAACTTTTAACCTCAAGGGTTCGTTGATGAATACGGCCACAGGATTTCTTGGTGCCACATAGTGGCAGACCTCGAGGCTTACTGGCAGTATTTGTTCAAGGGTGTTCAAAATCGCGTTTAAGATTTTACATTCAGGCGACGATAAAGGTGAAGGTGGGAAATTTACAATGTAATCTTTGCGAAAACGGAAGGACCAACCTCTTTCAAATCTCTAGTCAATGGAGGGGCATGTATATTTATCGGATCGGATTTGAAAAACTGTGCTGCATCCTCCCATGCATCTTTCTTTTTGGAGTGTTTCAGCTGTAGAATTCTTGGGCTGGCTTTTGAATTCCCGAAAGAGATGGGCATGCCTTACCACAGCTTGCACTTGTTCTGTCGTTTCCCAATCGTATGGATCAGATGGCTTTGTTCCAAGCCTTTTCATTAGTGCTACTAATCCATCATAAAACATACTGAAATTAAGAGACTGCATTGACGAAAATTCTAGAGAAGAATGCTTACCTATAATTGGGCCGCTGATAGTAATCCAGCGTTCTTAAATATGGAACAATATCGTGCATTTCAGCTGTAAGCAATCTTTACATTCAAGTGACTATATTGTCCAAAAGCAGTGGTCCAGAGACGTAACAAATTCATGATCAATGAAGGAAGAACCCGAGTCATACTACTCGATATATGAAAATGTGTGAATTCGGCCTAACCATAGTTTTTGAGGTGTGCAAAGGCAATCAAATTCTGTCCCACGAACGTCTCGGCGGTAAGAAACCGAGCAAAGGTGGTGTGGGCTGGGGCTGTTACATGACTTTTGCCAAGAGTACATTGTGCAGGAACAAGGAACGTGGGGAGGATTTTTATAGCTTGCGTCCTAGAGTACTGTCGCTCCGCCCCCCCCCCCCCCAATTTTACAGAGGCTCTCTTTCGCTCCAATAGACTTCAACAAGCGCATATTAGCTGCAGTGTGCATCTGGTCAAAAGGGTTGGCAATGGCTGGTCATGGAGCTTGAAGAATCTATGACAGGAGCAGCAGTTGTGTAGCAGTACCATTGTATCCTCTCACGATACAGATCGGGTTCAACTTGGTGCAAACGTTTTGCAGTTGAGAGGGGAACTAAAGCTGCTGAGTTGATCATAGAAAAGCATTGGATGCGCCAAGGTATTGGGGGTGAGCAATGCTAGGCACTAGCTTTTTCAGAATAAATGAGGCAGTGATAACATTTCCTAGCCAAGGTAGATGCTCTTTACGTGCAGTCTTAGGCTCTCGCAAATTCGTTTGAAATCGCAAGGCCGAGCACTGGCATATCTTGATCCAAAAGCAGTGCCCTATCACGGTATAGAGGGCGTAGCTTCCGTTCTCGCAAACATTTTGGAATAGAGTGGAGATATAACTGCTGAATGCAAGAACATACATGAGCCAGTAGGTGAGAGGCGAAAAAATTGGCACATTGTGCTGCGCATTGCCTTTCCTGCAAGATGAGGCGGTGATGGAATTTTTTGAGAAGAGGCGAGACTTTGTTAAGTACGTCGCACAATAGCACGAGCAAATTTCGGTTGCTTTTTTATTACCCTCCTAGGGAAACACCCAAGAAGCTGTTTATTATTTAGTCAAAAATGTCTTTGCTGATATCGATCTCCCAGGAAAAAAGAGCCAGGAAAAGGCGGCTGACCATAATGGTGGTTATAGAACCAGTCACAGCCAGTCCAATCCTTGAGTCGTTACGTTGAGTGAGCCTGCGAGTGGGAAGCGAGGTTCGCAACGGATAGAACTATTTATTAACTCAGTTCTTTTAATCCCACTATTAGTGTTTGCTCAGATCCTGCGCTTCGTCGACGATTCCCTGGACATTTTCCCGTGCCTGAGCAGTTATCGAGAGCTGGCGGTCTGGGAAAATACTTGCAGGTATATCGCGGAAGTGGCGCAGGGTCCAAAAGAAGCGGCGGTGCTAGCACGGCATGAGCCGGCGACTATCATGTACAAAAGTGGGTGTCCTCTTTTGCGCCTATTGCAAATCGCCATGACAGTTTAGCAGGTACCGGTATTGTGCAAGTAGTGCGCGAATATCAGATTCAAGATGCATGTATAAAAAACAAAGTGTTACACTGATGATGTAATCCGCGGCGTTCTATCATTGATGCTTCCGAGCAGTCTCTGCTTCTTATTATCGCTCAAGATGTGACCTTATATCGGGTCTTATACGTGCGAAGGGATAAGGTGTAAATTTCGACTACGGAATGTACTGATCAGAAGAATGTTTTAGTGGTAAAACTCCTTGCGCGAAATTTATCATTGTTGTTATAAGTGCTCATGCTTAGGGCCGCTCCTTGAAGTGAACATTCAAAGGCGGTGGCTCGGCAAATCGTCGACCTGAAGTTTTTCTCGCTGACCTGGGATATTCCGACTCGCTGATTCCGAAAATACGTTTTTTGAAGAGCGCGAAAACGGCGAAAACTAACATTTTTAAAGGCTCATCATTTTGAATATGGACGAGCGTAAAGCTCCACGTCTTGGTTAGAGACGTAGAGTCATTGCGCGGGACCATCATCATGCATTGCGGCATGTCGCCTCTGACGGTCGGAAGGGAATCTCAAGCTCGTTTCAGTGCGTGTAAGAATGGCTTGCGCGCACGGGTCTAGGGGCATTTTTCTAGGCGGGGGCAGCATGTTGTGCGCTCGGACCTGCTCTGTTTTCATGTTTGGGGTGCAGGCAACTTTCCGTATCAGAATTCTGGTATGTTTGGTTTGGACGAGCCACCGCCTTTGAAGTAAGGCAACTTCCGAAGGAAGTTGGAAAATATGGAACTTACGCGGGAAATTCTGTACTAAGTGTTTATCAGAAATGTTCATCTTCATCGTTTCAACCTGAATCGATAATATCATTCAGAATGAGATGAGAAAGGAAGGTATACCTTATGTTTATCTCTTACGGTTTGCCAAGGTAATCCGCAGTGGAGTTCGATCAATACATAAAATAATGACCATAAGTCGTCTCGACGACCCTGCAATTTTTTTAATGATTAATAATTGAGAATCAGGCTGGAGATCATTTTCACAATAATCTGAAAATATATTTAAAAAAAATAGGTTTTCGAGCAAAACATGCCTGTTCTTTCTTCTCATGAACATTTGGTGAGCAGTATCGAAGGGTTCCTCTAAACTCTGCTGAACCTCTGGCTTTCCTCGCAACCCATTTACCATTTTTCTGCAAAAGAAAGATTCTTATCATCATTAATCTGTAAACATCAACGCACCAAAGCAGCGTATGATCGTGATAGTCCAAAATCTAGTATATGTACCAAACGAGCTCTATCGAGATCGTCCTTATGTCCCATAACAAAATTGTTGGGTTTTATATCGCGGTGAATATATCCGTAATCATGAACGAGTTTGACGCTGGAATGATTAAAAGTTTGACACCTAATTAACGACTAATCAAGGATTAGTCGTGCTTTCCTTTGCGCTACAACGTTGTTCTATAAATCAACAACGCGGGATTGTATAATGATATGTCAAAAAAATCTGTGAAATGTACAGCGTTGTCAGATTGAAGGGAATTTGCAAATGCGAGTGTGGTGCTTTGCCTGCATAACGCTACGATAGATGCCCCATTTTTATGCTTCATATATAACAACTTGTAATTCTGTTGCTCCGCAGGAAATGCAGCAGCCTTCCTCTACCGGCTGCAATCATTGGTAGAACGCCTTTTTTAGAGAAAGCAAGGATCATGAGGTTGCTTTCCACTATTATGTTTTATTGAAAACCATCTTACAAAGCAGTAATTAGAGACGTTTGCTACTAGTCATCTAGGCCGAAGACATACCTTCAGCGATTCCATCAAATCGCTGAACCACGACTTAGCATTTTACCAGGCCTTTACGGATTTACCGTGTGCAGCTCTTATATGCATACAGTAATTTCTAATTTGTCACAAACGCACCATGTCTTGCTTCAGCAAAGCCCTTTTGAAATGCCAATAATAATGGGTTATGGCGTTCCGAGTCGCGCAGTGACTGAAATCGCGTGAGGTATGCCTAGGGCCTTAGATAGATAGAAGAGATTTCATTTCACTTGATAACCTCCGATCCCCACTATGGCCTGCCGTCTCACCGTAATAACATGAGGGTGGCCCTGGGTGTGGAACTACAATGCACAGCCGAGTGTATACTCTGGGGAGCCTTCCAGGCTGTGTTCCCGGTTTCGACTGATGCCTAGCTAAGAGCGGACCGTGCCAAGTCCCCCGTCGTTTGGCTTTTCTAATTGCTAGACGGTCTTCGCTTCACACCCGGGGTTAGCGATCGCCCCTGAAAATCAGGAGTGGGCCTATAGATCTGCTCTTGTAGGGGAAAAATTTTGTTACTCTATCAGCAAGAAGAAGAGTAAGAAACCCTGCACATCGAACCTTGCCCTCGGCGCCCGCCCTAATAGCATGAACTATGTCAGGTTCTCAGGGGCCTTTTGGATCGGACAAAGACGCCTAAGCTTGGACGACCCGTCATGGAGACTGCCCTGCGTCTGCACCTGCAAAGTCAGGACAATCTCCACAAACGCCGACCTCCACGCTCTTCTTGACGTTGCGGAGAACACAGACGACAGACGTGCGACAGATGAGTAATGGGACCCTCATCATTTGTGATGAGAAAGTTCCACCACGAAACGGTGGAGGCTTTGGCTTTGTCGTTCAACCATCTTTTCGGTTCGCATTTGATCTTATCACCTCGACTAGCCATCCTACAACTACGACCTCCACATCAGAAGACCATCAGCATCATCAACTGCTACTCCCCAACAACAGCCTCTAATAAATCAAAGCTAGGCTCCTCCGCAACGGATTCCCTTTCCACAAGTTTGTTGTGAGCAACTTCAACGCAAAGATCGAGATCCACTAGAAGAGGAATACGGATCAGGAAGTTTGGATATGAGCTTCGGAACAACGGCAACCGTCTAGTTGGGCTACTCTCCACCGCACGACTTTTTATGGAAATTCCATCTTCATGAAGAGAGAATATCGCCAGTGGACTTGGGAATCGCCCAACGGAACGACTCAAGCGGAGATCGACCACATTTTCACCAACCGAAGGTGGAGCTTGCTTGGTGTCTTAGTAGTTCCATCCTTCTGGAGTGGTCCGATCTCCGACTTTTCGAGCCAATATACTACTGATACGGAAAGGGAAATGCTGGGAAAGGTGTTTATGACGGTTATCAGGCTGGAAGAGCTCATATCAAGTTGTGTCTGGCCCATCGAGAAGGACACTACGTACGACGACGAGCGACTTCTGAAAGAATTGCGAGCTTGCGGATATTGCGCCTCAGTGACTTCCGAGAGAAACTTGGAACGTATTTTGAAGACCACCAATTAATTGCTCGAAAGAAGAAGATTTTTGAGGCAGGATCCGAATGCAACCATCTAGACCGACGAATAGTAAACGCAAGTTGCAAAACAGGTTTGCAGAAGGATCTTAGAAGGTACAAGCTAGCCAAGATACTGGAAGCAGCCGATGAAAGACGGAATCTTGAGCCTAAAGGACCTCTGTGAATAACACGTACCGCTGACTGCACTATTGAACGAAGACGACTCCGACTTCTTCCCGATATAAGATAGAATCTATAGCGAAGAACTTCCACACCAACTTCCTCCGCTCATCGACACCCGCGCCGACGCCCGTTGTTTTAAGTACCAACACGGATTTCGCCTGCTGAAGATTCAGACATCAAGACGTCTACAGCTTCAGGACCACATCCTTCCCATCAAACATCTGCGAGACGAGGACAGCTTTACGCGAGATCTTCGCGTAGCAGCTGACATCTTATTTTCAGTAGGAAAGAATTCCGGAGCAATGGAGAATCTCGAAAACCGTCTTTTCCTTCGGGGGATCGGGAGGATCTTCGAAACTACCGTCCAATATGCCTGCTGTGTGTTGTACATACTTTTCACAAATATCATCCCGGTCGCATATCTAGAACACTGGGGGCCGAGGCCAAAAAACAAGCTGGATTGCGCAAAAGATTGAGCTACATGGACTACATGCAAAGGTTTCGAGGGTCATAGAAGTCTGGTGGTAGTACGACCTGCCTCTCGTCCAACCTTCGTTGACTACGGAAAAGCCTTTGAAAGCGTTGAAACCAATGCCATCTTGTCTGCGATAGTCATTCAGGTGGTGGACATAGCTTACGTGACGACATCAGCCAACTGCTACAAGGACTGTGCGACAACGACCCCATTCCACCTCCCTTGGATACGGCTGGGAAAGGAATCGACAAGGCGACACAAAGGAATAGAAATAGGAAGCAACAGGAACCGATCCTCCCTTCCCCCCCCCCCCCCAATCCCTCTGGAACGAAGCAATAGTGTTGAACCGCGCCCCACCCTATACCACCTCCCCTGGATATCGCTGCTGGAAAGGAGTCAAGGCGACACAATCTCGCCGAAGTGTTCACCGCGGTCATGCAGTGGGTGATGAATCACTGGACAGGGACGAGAGAGGCGTACGAGTTGATGGAAGGTTTCTGCTTCCTAAACCTTCGTTTTGAGGACGATATTGTTCTCTTTTCGAGCAGAGTATCAGCGATTCTGAAGAAACCAAACGAAGTAGGGGAGAAGATAGGACTGCGAACAAAGGGAACACTTACAGACTCATTTATGAAGAACGCTTTTTGTGAAGATGCAGAAATGGAATTGGAAGGCACCATTATCATGGAGACGTCTTCCTACGTTTGTACCACGGACGTTCGATGAACATGGAGAACGACTTGAGGGAAGAATTTAAGAGAAGAAGAGCAGCCTAGGCCGCCTTCGGGCCTCTGAAGAAAGCCAACCAACTGACGGACCTGGAGCTTCGTGCCCACCTGTTCGACTCAACCGTTCTCCCGGCGCTCTGTTACGCAGCTGAGACTTGGGCTGACACAGTAGCCACGTCGAAAGCCTTACGGACCACCCATAGAGCGCTCGAGCGCAGTCTTCTAAAGATGACCCGAACCAACAGTCGGACTTCGCAGTACGGATATAGTGTGGACCCCGGCCAGCTTCCCATAGGTACCTGCGCGACGCTCGCGCAGCGCATGCCTTCAGTGCGCTTTCGTTTCTGCTTCATATGGAAATTGTTATGTTTTCTTCTCTTAACTGGCTTCGTTCTGTTTATGAACTCTGTTTCAGGTGTAGACGACTCAGGATAACTTCTTACGATGGGTTTTTAAGAGCCTCAACAGTCTTAACAGCCTTTGTCTCAGGAATTTCCTTTTTTTCAGTAGCGGAGATTTTAGCATATTTTAGTGGAATATTTCTCTAAAGATTTTGATTACAGAGTAAGCGTGCCTATCCGATTGATCTATAAAGTATAATTGCTTCTTATTCTTTTGTAATGCGTCAGTGGGGCTCTAATTGTGCAAATGTGCTCGCTAGCTTACGCTTTTTAACTTTTTTTTCAAATGATCACAGAAGGAAACGTTTCGAAAGTAGCCCCCGACTCTTTGTCTCTTCTAGAATTCTCAATCAGCGGTACTTTCATACTAGCATGCAGGAGATTGACTGATCTGCGCGCTAGTGGGGATTGTGAACGTTCTCTTCTTGCCTAGACCCTTCTCGAGCTGAGACTGATGGTTTCCACTTCATATTTCATCCCTACATCATGTAGAAATGCTTTTTTACTCATAAATGAACGAGGAGCGTCAGGCCAAGTGCGCGTTGCGTATGCGCCGCGTCGGTACCTATGGGAAGCTGGCCGGGGTCCACACTATATGAAAAGAATGTCGCGTCATCGTGACATAGCGAATTACGTTGCGAAAGCGAAGCATCGATGGGCCGGTCACATAATGAGAAGAACAGACGACAGGGCACTAAGAACAACGGAGTGGATTCCTTGCGAAGCGAAACTTCCCCGAGGAAGACCTCCAACGAGATGGGCAGATGTGTTAGTGGAACGGATGGACCAGCTGAGAATTCAGCTGGATACGATTTTCGCCCTGGATCTCGGACGCGGCCACTGACGTCAACCAAGAAGATCGTGGATGTCTGAAGCGAGGGACAGAAACCGCTGAAAATTTCTGTGCTGGGGTCTGCATGTCACGTGAAGACCGGCCATCTAAGTTTCTAAGTAAGAAAGTATGCCAAGTATACTGCAACTACTATTCCTCATTGTTCTCATGCACAGAGGTAGGTTTTTTCGGTTAGCCTACGGTGGGTAAACGGTAGGAAGACAAAATTTAGAATTTGCTGGAACTGTACGTAGTGTTGTCGTTTGTTACGCTGTTGTTCTAACACGCATTTATTATTTATGACAACCTTGTACTTTGAATCACAGGTGGATCACATCACATCATTGATGCGATGATTTTTCTACACCTTCCTCATTCACGGTTTCACTTGACCTTTCCGATATGTTCACTAATTCAATTGCTCCTTCTCCCTCAATTTCTACTCCCAGGACGACTCCCTACGTTGAACGGCTACCCCGCGTTTGATCCTGATCTCTGGAGTCTAGACCTTCCGACGAGTAATAACCACAATATATTTTTGTGTATTTTTGTCACCACGAAGTACCAAGCACAAAGGTACCTGTACAAACACTGAACACCAATCCGGCTCCAAGTTTGAGGTGTCATGAGTTCTCTTGCGCAATTAATCTGCAATTAAGCACATTTTTTTACGGGAAAGTAGAGATCTACCTTTACCTTAAGAGATTTCAGGTTTTCACCAAGCAATGTCATTACCATATAACAGTACTTCTTATGTTTAGCTGCGTGAAAAACGACTGGAATATGAGGCTTATCTCCGTCTTCTGTCATAGCACGAAGTATCGCGATCTTCAAATACATCCTGGACCCGCTTTTCTGATTGTAAGATTGCCTCACCTCAAGTTTGATGGCCGAACCTCCTTCAACATCGTTTGGCTCGGCTTTAAGTGCTGCCACCTGCCCTTTCCGCTGCACGCTTTCTACCTGAGAAGAGGCAAAAATCGCAAGAATATCGTGTTCGCGAGAAATAAATCAGAATATCTTTAACACATTGACGACAATACGACCCACCGGTGGGTCGTACGTGTCCTGCCATTTCGGACAATATGACCCACCGGTGGGTCGTAAGATTCATGAAGCGCTATCTTTGCCAATTTACGACGGAATTCTACGGGGTTCTGGCACAGGATCGGGGGCACTTAGGTGAAGCTTCAGCCAGAGTGGTCCTGGCTCGGGATACTGTAATGCAATGTTACGGTTGGTATACGGTGGACATCTCTAACAAGGGAACGATCCCAACTTAAGGTGGCGAATTGGAATAAACCGCATACCATTAAATGCGTCTTGATGAGCTGATTCCAAATCTACTTTCCATATCTGCGACAACGTTATCTGGAAGAAGTTATGAAATGTTTAAAATGTGAAGTAACGGGAATTTTGGTGCATAATTTGCTTTAAAATCCAACTTGGAACTGCACGACTACATCATATTGAGTGTACTGATTTCACGGAATGCTCACATTCAAAAGAAACGCAAATAAATGTTTTTGAACAGCTAAAAAGCAACTAAAGTTCTTTGGTAAAAGCTATGAGCAATGAAAAGTCCAAATTTGGCAAATATACAGCGCAATACCTCGAAAAGTAGTTGTTCAAAATCACTTATTTGTGTTTCTTTAGAGTGTGAGCATTCCTTGAAATCAGTACACCCAATATCATGCTAGTCTTACACTCTCAAGTTGGATTTTGAAGCGAATTATGCACTAAAACCCCCGTTACTTCACGTTTTTAACCTTTCATAACTTCTCAGACACTTTTTCCGACGGCCCGCGCGCTTTCATAAGCCTATCGTGCGAGCGGCGCGCCTAGATTTGTGGGCGTGGCATCGTTTCCGACGGGCGGCGCGCCATCGAAAACTGCCGTGCGAGCGGCGCGCCTTGCCTTCGACGGGCGGCGCGCCATCTTGTGTGACCGGGCGAGCGGCGCGCCATCAACAAACATGTAAGAACAACGAACATGTATTAACTTGACAAGACGCGTAAGCATCATTTTGAGTTCGTTGTTAGCCGTAGGAGGTTGCATTTGTTATCGCATCTTAGTTGCTTGTCCGTTTTGACGGCTAATCGTCTCCATCCTTTGTAAGTTTTTTTCTGGTTCACATTTTACAGTCATTGTCATTCATGTGCTCCCTATTCCGTAGCATCTTAGCGTCCGTATTGCGTCCGCTATTCGGGTATCCGGGCCGGCTACACACCCTGCCGCGGCTTTTGCCTAAGGGAACGGCCATAGGTTGTCTTTGTTGTCGGTGTTGTCGATGTTGTCGGTGTTGTCGGTGTTGTCGATGTTGTCGGTGTTGTCGGTGTTGTCGGGGTTGCCGAGGTTGCCGGTCGTTGTAGGACCTCATGATAGCCTCCACGTTTCGCGCGCTCTCTAAACTGTCTCTGACCCCGACAACCCCGACAACCCCGACAACACCGACAACACCGACAACACCGACAACACCGACAACATCGACAACACCGACAACACCGACAACACCGACAACCTATGGCCGTTCCCTAAGCAAAGCACAGGGGACTGCTACATTTGCCGATTTGTGATTTCGACCCCTACCGTAACTATGCAGGGAGACGTTTTCGTGCGGAGTGGTTTTTTGGTGCCATCACCAGAGTTGTTTGCTATGTTTTTTCTTGATGTTACAATATCTTGAAAGATGTATCGTGCCGCGGTCAGTCTCAAGCCTAAATCCGAAGGACCAAAAACGTATGCGAAGCCTAGACCTGTTTTTCCACCATATCTCACTGGGTATGTTTGTTATCTGGTTTTATTGCCTTTAGTAGTTTCGTTTTCAGTAGAGAGAATCCTTTTGTGCAAAATATTGTCGAAGACGAAGGGGCACCCTCAGATATCCAGATGGAATTAGAAGTTCCACAAGGTTCATAGCTTTTGCTTTTCTTCCTTTCTGTTATATTTCCTAGACTTTGTTTTTTCAGGTAACGTGTACGAAAGACGCGAGTTTCATGTTGAAACTCCTCTACGAGGAGTTCAGCCTCTTCCGCTGCGGATCCAAATTAAATCGATCGATTGATTTCGGGATTTCCGGAGCGGTCTACTACGTAAGTACGAGTACATTGATTTTGATAAAAACATACAAATTTCTTTCTATGAGTTCCTCAGATCCGATATCGTACTACGCGCTAAAGTCACTTACGGCAGTTTGAATCGCATGGTAGGATCGGACATTCACTCGCTATGGCATATTCCTAATGGTATGACAGTACGGCTGCACATTTTGGGATGTCATATATTCCGGTTTTTTTGCTCAATCAGGTCATTCTTACCGGTATCTAAAAGTGCTTTCTCAGTGTCAGCATGGCTGCTGTGCTTTACGTGTTTTCAACAGGGTGCTTAGCGTAAAATGTATTGATGATATTATAGTTGTTGCCTGTTGTGTTCTGCTTTTGATACTGTATTATGTCGTTCTGTAAGTTCTTGGATAATAAATCTGCCATCATCATACCTGTATACATGTTTGGCAATAAATCTGACGCTATGAGGTCGTATTGCAATGACAAAATATGAATTTTATCAAAGGATTGCTATCTGTATCACAATAGGGTCCTACAACGCTTTCGAAGGAGGGGGCGAGCGGCGCGCCTTCAGCGAGCGAGCCGCGTACCTTCATTCCACGGGCGGCGGGAGGCATGAGCGCTCGCACGCTCAAGGCGCGCGGGCCGTCGGAAAAAGTGTCTGAGTTCTTCCAGATAACGTTGTTGCAGATATGGAAGGTAGATTTGCAATCAGCTCATCAAGTCGATTCTAACGATATGTGGTTCATTCCAATTCGCCACCTTAAGTTGGGATCGATCCCTTGTAAGGCACAAGCTTTAGCTCAAATTCTTCGTAAAATGATGATGTTTCTGGAGAATCAAGTTTACATCTAAGAGTAATACGGGGCGGGCAAGAGGCTGACGTTAATCCACCAAGAAATTATCGATTTTATTGATTTTATTGATTTTTTGCATTTTTCGTCCTAGGAAGCTCGAACTTTGCATATATAGGTTTTGTAGCATGCTGATTACGAAAATGATAGTCTCAAATTTTGATACCACCTTCCAACATCAGTTTCTTGATTTCTACGAAAATTCTACCGTATCGCTACCGTAGTCTCACCGTGAAAATGTAGTGAACAAATGGACACTATAATCGTGATCAGCACGTGAAATAACCCCAATACACAAATTTTCATGAAAATCCATGATGTTGGGTTCGTACAGAATGACTACCGTAACCCTACCGTACAACGCCAAAAACTGAAATAAATCATATTTTGGTAATCAGCGCATTCGATAACCCTTGTGGGGAAATTCTCGGAGACATGTTCTGAATTTCTTACAAAAAGACTACCATTTCGGACAATACGACCCACGGGTGGGTCGTAAGTTTGGCAGAGAAGGCTCCTGTCCGAAATGGCAGTAATCGAAAAATCGGCCTTGTTGTCAATGTGTTAAGTAAGGGAGCCTTGCTGATTGCGGTAATCGCATCAGAGTATAAGGAATATCAAATAATAGGTGTTATCTGAGGCTGTGCTTGAAATACGTGCGGGGTGGATATTCAGACATCTGGGGAATTGTCAGAGAATACAATGGCGGACGTTGCGCTGGGATCGAGCGTCCTTTTGCGACATGGCCCCGTAACCTGAGAGTGTAGTGGCACCAAGTATAGATACTCTACATCGTACTGTCAATGCTGAGTCGTTACTCCACCGCTTCCCCGAATGAGCTGAGCACATTCGCGGGGAAGGAGCTATACGAACCAAGAGCGGAGTCAGCCATTGTAGAACCACTACGTAGGTACCACAGGACACATTGGCCCACAATGCTGGTTGTGAACCCGCGACAGAATACGGCTCCAGCTATCGTGCCGCTCCTACTAAAACTTACTGAAAATGAGGTCAGGGAAAGAATATGATAGTGATTACGGCCAACAATCAGCATCATTTGAAAGTGAGCCTGGTTTTCGCGGTCAAAACATCGATGGCTAGTTGAGTAGAGTTTGTAGGGCTCTGCGTAATCGCGAAAATTGGTCAATTTGCGTCCTTTGCACACGGAGGGTGGTACTAGGCTTATACCAATTGAGAAGCCCTGTACTTTTAAATTCGCTTTGGGTGATTGAAAGCTAACCTTTGTTAGCAGAAAAGCGTTCTACAGAGGGAAAATAAGCTGATTACGCGAACAATGGTGGCAACTCACTGAGCTAGAACTCACCTAGCTCCACGATCACGCAGAGCCCTATACAGACGGTAAAATGCATGGCCTGCGTAGAAAGTGGGCACAGATTGTAATGAATCAAAATGCATGGTTTCCGAACGATGTCCTCAATAGCGGAATATCGACAATCTAAGGTACTCTTCTTTTGAATTCGAGTCATTCGACAACGTCGGCTTGCATAGGGTGCCGCCAAATGCAGCGTTGGCACAAAATAGTCACAAACCTTATACACATGTCCAAAGCCTCCTTCGTCTAATTTCTGCACTATAACCCATTCTCCAAACCTGCAACAAAGTTACGTGCATTACATTCGAAAAAAAGCACGGTCTGGTCTCTGTGCAATCCCAGCGCAGGATATCGGACCGTCCGACGCACCGTTTCCCCTCTTTGAACTTCGCAGCTGGATGTTCGTCTTCGTCTGTCATGACAAGAGCGAGTGGTGGTGATAGAACAATGAAAATGAAGAATACTCATCTTGGCACACTTGCTGTTATGTTGATAGAATAAATGCGTATCATGATAAATGGCTTGGTAAACAGCAGCGTCATTACGCACTCAGATGTTGTAGGGACTTCGCCACAGCCTAGTTCATGTTAATAAAACCCAACATAAATACGGCGCTCATTACCTATGCAAGAACTTCGTATGCAGTTGCGCCATATAGCATTCCAAGATGCCTCGAAACGCACACTGACTGCGCTAATCTGCACAGAATGTTTCTTTGGAATTGATCAATTAATTAATTGTGAAACTGAGACATTTTAGTTGCAAGTGGTCTTTCTCACATTTCCACCTTGTGCGACTCCACTCAGAAACATATGAATGCAAAACACGATTTTGCTGAACTTTAGGGTGATCATTTGACTGTCATGCGCTACTCGATGGCATGCGCTATCTCCATTTCGCGAGGTTATGGTAGGTATCTACATGGTGAGTGAAAACAGGTTTGTTTAGCACGCTGACTGCGATTATGATATCTCCCCAAAGTAAGCTTTTCGGTAATTTCGGAGGATCTGTCCCTTATTTCATATGACAAAAAAAAATTGTGAAGCGCAAAGAAAATCGTAATAGCATGTGATGAACAATTTAGACCAACTTTTGAGTAACTTCTGGATTTTGAGCTGTCTACATTGTACTTACTTGTACTTAGCGCAATCTTCACACAGGTAATTCTCTGAAATACAGTGATATTCTGCTACAGCGACTCAAATGAGTCTCATGAGCAAAGATACGGTGAAATCTATGATTTTCATTTTTGATTACTTTCCCTCGCTATATGTATGCTTTACTTGCCAACTCTACTCCATGTTGAGGTTATTTGAGCATCGTAGGATGATACCTCCGGAGGTGAAGGTGGTATGGCTCTACATCACGGGTAATTTTCTCTATGCAATAGTTGTTGATTCATATCGAGGACCAATTTACAATAACCAAAACAAGTTAGCCAAATAACTATCGAGCGATTACTTGCCTAATTCAGTCAATCGTATATTCGAGTCTTTCTGGAGAAAAGACCTACATATAAAACAATGGGAAACATTTCATTCCAGAAAAATTAGGCAAATCGACATCTCGACCTGAAAAAATTGCTTTTTGAATGAAAGTAGAAAAGTCTTCGTAGTGCATGGGTTGACTTATCATCACTTTGTCCAATAATGATACTGCAATGACTTCTAGAGCTCAAAGTGGTTAGCAGTATCTCTTTTCTATTACTATTATACTTCATTCACAAACCAGTTCTATTTCGAACGCTGTCATGCAAAGTACTAACAAAAGTAGTCTCAAATGACCAATGCCTTTGAATGCTTAATCTCTTATGACTGACAAAATATAACTCAATAAAAATAAATCCATGTAAATGAGCATATGTTCGATTTTTGTGTAATTTGTCTTCTTCAGTGGATAATATTCCGTCACACCCTCCTCATCCTGAAATATTCCAGGAAATCTCTACAAGATAGCTGCGTCCGTTGCTCTTACAGTGCAAGAATTAGTTGCGTAAGAGTATCGGCATGTTTTTGATCACGACTGTTACGTTATTTCTGCAGGTCAGCAGCACAGATGGGAACAATGAAGAGCCAGCCTCATACAAGGAGTTCAGCCGATACCAATGTGTCCTATGTCATTTGTAGGTCGCCGGTAATTAACCTGTTCTGGGCACTGTTTTCTTGCGAATGTCCCTTTTCGACGACACTTCTTGTGCTTCGAATAAATTTGCTAAAAGGTCCAACACAAATTTCGGTTCAGTTTCTTTTGCCTATATATTCTAAAAAAGATTCTAAGCTCGATATCTCTTCATCTTTTCACTGAACACTTCCTACCTGATCCCATCTTCCACCAAATCTCAATCTAGTTCGAAAACAACACAAGTGCTTTGTTCAGATGTTCTGCTGACATTAAATATTTACCTAGATCTAAATTTTTGAAGAATTGTCGCGTCGTAAGACATATTTTTATCGTTCTAGGGTTATTCTTTCGTGAGTAACAACCTTCCGTTCGTTGTAATTTCCAGCCTATTAAGGATGATGACAATTTGCCTGTATCCATATCTAAGCAGAAATCGTTTTCTTTTCTTTCACACGATATCCTTGTCTGTAAAGAAAGAACTGTGAAAAGAATTATGAAAAGCTTATTCGCTTAATCCTGAGTAAAAAAAAACTCTGATTCCTTATAAATGATCGAAATTCTGCTACGTACTCTGCGACAACAGCGGCCACATTCCGGGTATTAGACGACTTGTGACTCGTCTCATAGTTTTCGAAATTACTGAACTTCTTGGCTGTTCCTTTACATAAATCAGTTTCGATCATAATTGAGAGCTCACGAGATTTGTAACATTGTTCAAATAATCCTCAACTTTCAAATTCTATTACATATAGTGCCAAAAACTTGAAACTTCAGCTAAAACTCCATTACTCCTTCTTAGAAGTCCCATGAGATTCTCTTTCTAAACCAGCATAGTTCTTGATGATTGAACTTCTATAGTATAATTCGCAACTAAAAGAAAACTGCAAATTTGTTTTTTTCAAAAATTTTTCACGAAACTGTTCTTGCTGTAGAAGTTGAGCAAGACATTTCTCAGTAAATTAAGTATTGCACAGAGTGTATTACTGATTACTGACCATCCTAATTTTTTAAATGCAATTATATTTAAATGCAAGTACCGGAGTTTTGGCGAGTAAGAAAGCGATGAATTTCGTAATTTTTCAAAGCCTTTAATTCTTTATGTGGGTGATAGAAAGTCTTTGGGATTAAACAGTATGATTTAATCTCGTCTAGAACATTGTGCAAAATCGTTTTTCGAAGAACATATTGCGACAGAAGTTTGATTATACCAATTTATTGTAGTTCACTGCATCATAAATAGGTTTAACACAAGGGCTGAAAGATTCTTTTCGCAAGGAAACTAATTCTGGAAGTAAATTCGTTTCGTAATATTAGACTTCCATACCATACTACATCTTCGATATAGAATAAAGTAGTAGGTAGTTTTTTAGACCCACACAATGTCCCTTCTCCTGTTCATTGCATTGCTATCTACGACATCCTCGACAATCATCAATATTTTTGAAGAAAGTGGATTGCAATACGAGAAAATTGGAAAAGCAAAGTAAGAGAACTTATTTTTCTCTGACTGCTTCCATAATCTTGAATATTTACAGGTTGATAGACGCGAGCAGAGTGTGCCTCTCTCATAATGTGAGCTTAACTCCTTATGTGGATGCGCTAGCCATGGGCGAAGAAGCAGAAGAAGCAGACATGGTGATGTTGAAAGCACATATGCGAAGAGTTTTCGAGGATACCTGCCATGAGTTCAATCTTACCGACGGTATGATCCACTTTTTGAAAATATGAATAAAAGGAATTCTGAAGACATGTTTCAGAATTCACTTCCTCACAAAGTGATATCAACCTGAAGGTCAAGTAAGTAATTGCATATCTTATCGTAGCGATTACGTTATGGTATCAAAGTGAATAATATGTATTTTTAGGCCATCAAAATATCTCAACGACTATGGATTAAAGTTCAATATCAAGAAGTTCCAAAATGATCTTCTCGCTTTATTTCTACACAACAAGATCAACGCACCATTCTTCGACGCCTTTGAAAAAGTAATTGACAAAAAGTTCAAAAGAGTATTTTGTTGTATCCGTCAACTCATAAATTGGGTTTTAGGGATTGATGAAGGATGAGGTGGGCATCGAATTCGCTAAATCAGCAGTTTTCCTCCCAAGACGTTGCGATATATCCACCATGACGATAGAAGCACAATATTGTTCGTGGGAGGATAAGTCTGTGTTAGAAAGCGAAATTTATGCAGTAAGTGATAAATAGCCTTCTTTACCCTATACCCCCTATTCCGCTTTCAAAACTGAAATTCTGAATTGCAGATTGCGCACACCGGGCAGATGATGGAGAAGAGTAAGGCATTCGTGCTGTATGAGGTGCCTGACTATGTTCTGATAAAAGGGGATGAGATATTTCCCGTGAATTTCGACTCGTGCAAAGCAATGGTTAATTCGAGCTTCCTGGAATAATTTTGGAAAATCAATATATCGATTTCTTGCAGGACGGCACTTACTTCCTGTGCATGGAGAAAATTAGAACTTATTGCGACATCACTACCATAACCTCATGTGATTTGTATGCGATGCCCACAGACAAAGATTTTTACTTTACCCGGTCATACGGTAGTGGAATGATAGTGGCCACAAATCTTTCGGTTAGTATCTCCATTACCTTTCCCCGATTTTTGCATCGAATCAAGTTCAGGAGGTGAATATTGATGGTACTATGGTCAAGGCGGTCTCTCCAGTATTCACTTATCACACTTCGCAATATGTTGAAAAGGATGCAGATGATCAGCCTTTGATCCTTCAAACGACAAAGACTAGTCCAGCAATGTTGAAAGTAAACAGTTAGAATTCCTAAACCGAGCGATAGGTCAAGATTCAAATTCCAGGCACCGCTTCCTGAACTAACTCAAGAAGCTGAGAAAGCTGTACGTTCTGCAAAGCAACCCATTCGTCTTTATCGCATCACTCGAAAAGGAATCGACATGCTCAACGATAAGGTGAGCTCTGGAGAGTCCTTCTACTTGTCGCGAGCAGCTGTTGGGTAATAGCTGCTCGCGACATACTTAATATGAGCAAATTCTCCCGGTACATTTTCCCAATCCAAAGCTGAAGTGGAATGCCGTTTTGTTCTTTTTCAACCATTGAGTCGAACATACAAGATCGCTTATTACCGCTCGCTCGCCTGTGATAATTTCATAATAGATCTTTTTTGCAAATTTTTTGAGTTCTCTGATAAAATGAGAAACACGAAAATAGAGAACAGTCGTTACAATTCTTATGATAGACCAGGTGCTATGGAGTTAAATTCATTATATTCTCTCAACATCGGTTTTCACAATCCACCATTCTTTTTTTTATCGCTTTACGTACATTACTATTTTTAGCCTTTCAAGCAGTTATTATTCTAAAGACCAAAAATTTTTTTGGAAGTCCTGCGCGACTTTTCTTCCTGAATTTCTTTAAAAAAACCTGTATGATAACTTGATTATTTTCAGCCAAGCAAAGCATCCGTTTGGGACGATGTGAGGGATTTCTTCATGCATCTCGTTTGATCAAACTTATTTTGCCTTCGCGCAATTCATTGTATAAATCTTTTCAGCAATTTGTTTATACTGTAAAAGATTTCTTCCGCTCAATGGAACATCTGTGAGTATAGGCTGCATACTAGAAATCAAACAATCACCAGTAAAAGATCGAAGAAAAAACTCAAAAGTACAACATATCCACATCTTCTATCCAATAGCTTGAGAATTAATATGCAAAAATCCTATAGTTCTTCTACAAGGTAGCATGTTTGATCGAAGTGGCCTTTCAGAATGGATGTGTAACATACTGGAGAACATAAAACGTTGATTTCAAATCTGCCTTCCCTATCTGCGGAACATTTATAGGCAAGGAATTATGCGCGTTCATTGGAGCAAAAATTACATGTGCGAGTAGGACAGAAATTGCCGTAATACGTTTTCTAGCACTTTGATGGAGCAAGGAGAATTACCAGAGCACTTAAATCTAAACTGCTCGCAGATAAAGAAGTATATCACACTTGAGTGCTTTATTCAAAAGCTAGGAAGATTCTAGCAACTCATTTTGTTCTAGACGCAATTTCATTTTTCTTTGCGATAAACGCTCATAACTCTTCGTCTCCAAACGTTCCGCAGACAAGGAGGGAAGATTTGAAATCGCGTTTCATGCTCTTCAATATGGTGTACCATCCCATCTGAGAGGAGCACTTCGACGAACCACTTTCCTTGTGAGCATCTTCATACTGCCTAAGATATTCAACTGTTAAGGCTTTAGACTCGTTCATCTGTTTTCTTATCTACTTCATAGCAAAAATTATCTCCAAAATGACTATCCGAATTCACTTGAGGCTGTGCTTCTTACGTTGAGATACAACATGAAAAGCAACCAAGGTAACTCTAGTTTCTTATTCTTGCTGCTCCACAGTTTGGTCCATAATCATATTTTACTAAACTGGTAAAAGGCAATGGTTCCGTCTATACTCAGAGCAATTCGTTGCTTTCATATGCAACAGCATCAGAGATATAGCTTTCGTTTTGAAGTCAAGGGCTTTGTGTCATTTTCGTGGTGGATGCAAAGGCGGATTCAATTTTTTGGTCACTGTCAATTTATAGCTAATTGCAAGCCTTTATTTTATGTGAATGGAGGCGCCGACGCTCTGACGTTGGCTATAGGATTTTGCAATTATCTCGAGGAGGAGAAGAGGCATACTGTACCGCGTGTACTAAAAAACGAAATGTGCTTTTATGTCATATTCATATATCTCAGGTGAAACATTTATCGAAGACACAGTGACAGCTAGAAGTTGGAAAAAATCATGAAACTTTGAAGATGTGAACATGAAGCTGAGAAGCGCACTTCTGCTACCGGTAGCCAACAGGGATCCACTCAATGGGAATTATTAAGAGACGAAGCAGTGGATGAAAAATTAACAAAGTATAAAATGGTATAGTTAGTTTTGGTATGCAAACAACTAGCAAGGAACTATCACAGGGTATGCACCACACACAAAGAGTTTACAAAAAGATCACGGCAAGGATAAATTTAAAGGTAGCGATGTCGATAGGATGATGATTTTTGAACAACATGAGATGCATCGGGCTATACTCACGTTCTATAAGAAAACTATAATGGAGACACTTTTTCCTCGTCAATTTTGTCCATAAATAAAGTCTGAAACACGGTGTCCGCGAAGTCTGGGTAGTAAGAGCACGCTCGATTGCAGTCAGGCATGAAGTTAAACTCAAGCAATGTTGGTTGAACGGTCTTTTTCTCTGAAATAAAAACTCCCAGATAACTTTTCAGTTTCCTTTCTAAACCCAAGTAAAATGTATACTCGTGAAACGTCTTTGACTTCATGACATTACTTTTTGACTTCATGACACTACCCTCAGGGGGAAACAGTCAAGAGGCGCGACTTTTCAGGGGTTACCACTGTGTAGTCTTCAAAGACACTAGAAAAAGTGCTCTTACTATCTATCTGAAGCTACCACTTGTCAAGTTTGACAGTTTTAGTGAAAATGCTCGAAATATTCACAATATCGCGATTAATCGGTTGCAGTGAGTTGCATCGCCGGGTTTTGACATCCAAAATCCATGTTTTGGATCTATTTCAATATGCAAGGTTAAACACCCCTGGCGAGATCTTGCATATCCCTTCAAAAACTTAGAAGCTTTCTAGAACGTTATTAAACCCTAAAAATGAGCCAATCGGTTCCATCTGGCAATATAAATCGCGCCAACTTGACATACACGCGTTCGCTGGTTATGGCGAAAGTAAAATCAGCAAGTTCCGCTCCTAACATAAAATGTGAGAAAAGTGCCTGAGCCCTTTGTTGATTTTAAATGAGAAAATTTAACTGAGGAGCTTTAATTCAAAACTATAGCCGCTTCCGATATTGATCCCTTACCCTATTTTGTTTTGGAAACGACAGCGCTGAGATTTTAGACGAGACTTCTTTAGCTGTTCTCCTATGCTAGTTTGAGAAACTTTAAGGTATATATCTACAATATCTACAGTATCGGGTTGTCTCATAGGTCTTTTCCGTTTCCCCTTTCTCCTGCGATAAGCTATTTTTATCTTGTTTTCGAAATAAGTTTGCCAGTAGCATTGATAGAGCATAGCAAGCTCCACAAGAGAGCACATAATTGTTTGCAAAAAGTTGTTCCACTTAAGATTTCAATCCAAAATCCTAAGGCCTACACATCAGAAAAAAGGAAAAATCGTATCACCGTCCAAAAAAACAAAAAAAACTCCTGCGAACTTCCTACTTGCTCATGCATATACTTTCCACACCCGGCATTTACATGTACGTTTGCTTACTTTTCCCATGGCAGGTAATCAAAAAAAATTATTTCCGTGTAATTGCCAGATGTGCTGCGCTGTACCAACATAGATAGCTTTATGGTATGAACTTCACTTTGCACATGTAATCATTAGACTGTAATCACTTGTAGAGCTTACTTTGTCTATCGAAAAACACCGCAAAACTATTTAGGGAGAGAGAAGAACATGACTATTACAGGAGAAGGTGAAAACGGAGACTCATGAGAGAACCGATAATTGTAAAGATTACCAACAAAAGCTGCCAATGGTCTACATATAACAGAGATGATAAAGTTTTGAAATGAACAGTCAATTTGAGGCACGAGATACACTTGCGGAAATTTCGAAACGTTAGACAACAAGCCAACACCGTTTCCAAAGTTTTCTCGAATTTCAAAGAAGTTAGGAGTTAACCCAAACTCAGCCTTCACGCTTAGATTAAGAATCATAATTTAATGCTCTATGATGAACAGCTGAGAGATTAGAATGGAGAATATCAAGGAACTTTCGAACTCTAGAAGAAATTTCTTTAATTTTTTAGTAGTGAAATATTGAATACAGTTTGAATTTGGGATTTCGAAAGCAACAAATCCCTTCACTTTTTATGAAATGGTACCAAATTAAATCGTGATAAACAGATGAACAGAAACTTGCCTTTGTCTCCCCACTGAAGCATCACATCTGCTCCGTACATGGCCCTGGACTGCACATTTTTTGCAACACCACGAGGAGGATCATACCTGAAGTAATTATTAGATTTTTGAGCGGAAGCAACATTTGAAGCAAAGCAGATGAACTCACTTGCTCGTTGCCTCCAATGCAATTTTCAGGACATTTTCAATTTTGCTCTGCACATCATTCCATTTGATAGCGGGATACGTTTCTTCCAACCGTTTAACGAAGTCGTCACATGTCATCTAAAGAAAAAAAAATTAGTTTCTTAGGAACTCTATACCGAAACATGGGGTTAATAAATACATTTGGACTTCACAGATGCTCGAAAAGTGATTAAGGCAGAAAAAATCTGGATTCGGGCATCTTGCATCCACCCACCTGTAAAACTTTCTCGCCATCAGCGTAGTTGAAAACAGTGAGATGTGTTTCAACATCGTCCAGTCGATCAAGTGAGAATGGGCTGAAAACAGAAAGCATAGCCATTCGAGCTATCTCACATTTCAGAAATTTTCAAGCTCCTACTTGATAGCAAATCGAGTCCAGAATTTCCTGTAAACGTAGGCACGTAGAGGTCGTACTTGGGTGACAAATATTATGTAGCGTAGGTCGAATTTCACCAAATTATTATTGTCCGGTCGATGGAACAGAACAGGATGTTCAATGTACTTGCAGGCAATCTAAGAATGGACATATATATATGAGCTAACAACAAAATATATAAAGCTTACTTTGGGACTGCTCTCAGTTAATCGTATAATCTGGCGTAAATCATCAGTAACATGCATATCCAGGCCACGAGCAAGATTCCATGGTTTGATGATCCACGTGTTTTCCTGACCGCTAAAAAACATTTTTACCATATGAAGCTAAAGACTGTATTAATTTCTCTCATCACCTTGCTTTCCTCTCCAAGAAATGCGATACAAACTGAGGCAGCTCGGTGTTGAGATTGTAACATTCCTAGAACAATCTTCATGCTAAATTTTATAGAGAACCTGGATGGCGGTCAATGTCATTTGAATTTCAAATTTTCAAATCCTCTAATGTAAAAAAAACAAGCTTTTGAGTACCTCCTCAGTTCTAACGAGTTCAGTTACCACAATACTGTTTGAATTTTACTTCCAAAAATATATTTAAAGAATTCAAACTGAAGAAGCATAACGAAGCTAGGAATTAGAGAGATAGCTCTATTCTTGTCTGTATCTTTTACCTAGTTACAGCACAATCTTACACCAAAAACCTTTTTCTTGCTCTATTTGCTATGAACGAAGAATATGCACTCTAAATACAGCCATACCGACCTGGAACCATGCCTGCTTTTTTCCTTCATTCTGTTCCATAAGGATTGCCGAGAGTAGATCTTTAACTGTTACGCAGCCTTCACTTGGGAACTGGTTGACCAATGCGCTTGGATTTTCACTGCATAATTGACTGAAAAGTAATTTATAGAAGATGATTGCAATAGATAACATATAATCGTCTTCTCAGAGATGACCATGAAACGAATGAAACAGAGTGAGTCAATTTCAATTCTCATAAGAAAGCTTACTAACATTGGACTGATACTTAGCACAAATGGAAAATTGAAAAATCTCGCCTCAGCGGCTGTGAGAACTTAAAAAAGGTGCAGAAAAACAAAGTAAATCGGATGACTTTTCTAGTGACATCGCAACGTTTGATTCGTGTTAAGGCTCGGGCAGAGTTCATGCGATTTCATCGTCGCGATTGATCTCGACAAGACAACTGTAACAATATCATCGCATGCCGATCTTCTTGCATTTTGGTTGTGATAGTTTTCCAACACGACTAATCGTAACTAACTATCACAACCGAAATACAAGAGGATCGGCATACAATGAACTCGTAACATTTGTCTTGTAACGATGAATCGCGGCGATGAATCGCGTGAACTCTGCTGGAGGCCTCAGGCAATGTTTGAAAATGACACTTTCTTATAGTTAGTCCCAATGCGAGGCACAGACTCACTCATAATCGCTGAAATGCCTTCTCAACCATATAACATCGGCTGTTTTCCAGTCAGCAACTTCTTCATATTTGACAGCCGACAACTTCTCCAACATTTGTAGATCATCAGCATAAATACGAAGGGGTCGTGACAGGTCGCGATTCTTGATGGCTTCCAGTGACTTATTCTGAGCGGCTTCAGATGGTAAAGTGTCCAGTTTTCGACCACTCTGAAATAATTCCAAGTTTAGAAACAAATGACGCCCTCCGCTACGCATATCATCGTAAAAGCGTACCAAAAAGAAATTCTCATCAGGAGATTCACGTGCAATCTTCTCATTCACTGTTAGTTCTTCTTCCAAATATGGTGCCATAAGAAAACGTCGCCAATCCGGATGTTGTCGACAGAGCGCATTGTCGGCAAAGTCTCGATAGATCTCTTCTGCAGATAGACTGATAAGCTTGCAAGCACAAAATCATAGTTGGTAAACGCTCACCTCCATCCTTTACTTCTTTTGTGAGAAACAATACGCTGTATGCTTCCCCCTGTGGGAGGAAGTACAGTGGAACAACTTTAACATTTGGTTTGTCTAAATGAGATATTCGCGTTCCAAACTCATCCATTATATACCATAGCGGCATTGTTTCTTCATCTAATTCCTAAAAAAATTAGTTGCTACTCCACATGTAACGCAATTATTAGGTTGTCCCAAAAGTAAACTCCTTTTTTGCATAGTTCAGAATGTTCTTGTTTTCCAAGTAAACTTAGGATATCACTCGATAGAGCGGATCAGCTTCTACAAAACGACCAGTAAGGATACTCCTAAGTCACATCCCAGAGGAAGTTTGAAGCCAAAAGCGGAAAAAATTTTGTGACCTGAGAATTAGGTTTTGTGAGAAAAAGTCCTACGGACCTCCAACTTGGTCTTCATACAGTAGGCAGATAGTAGTACCCAAATATGCCTTTACTGGATTTTGTCCGCTCATAGAAAGCGAGAAAAAATGATTGTCCAAAAAAGGCAAACTCCTTAGCCCCTCCCACACGTGTCATTGTATACTGCAAGCCTTACTGAGTATAACTTCAAAACTATACCCCTATATGTGCTCTTACAGTCAAGAAATCCAAGTACATGAAGAACGCAAAAGAAGTGACGTTTGGCGTTTTCGAACCATCTTTGCTTCTCAATTTTGAGTGCCCAAAAACCCATCAAATACACTTTTGGGTACCACTATGCACTATGGTACTATGGTACTTCTACTGTGTAATGACCAAGGTGGAAGTCTGTAGGAATTTTCTGGAAGGATATACGATTCTTAGGGTACCTGAAAATTTTTGACTTTTGGCTTCAAATTTTACTGTATTACGAAGTAGGCGGACCTTTAGCGGTCATTCTGTAGAGCTTGCTTAATTTATCGAACGGTACTTAAGTCGTTTACAAAAGGGGTTTACTTTTGGAACAAGCTATTAATTTATGATAGTACCTTATTAGTTCTAATGGTGTACGTTTGTATATGCTTCCACATTTTCTTAAGAATTTTATCGACAACAGTGTCTTCACTTGTCAGAGCATCACATAGCCGTGCGTCAACAGATTCCAGCCGAGGAAGTGGACCATCTAAAGCAGAAGGCATCAAAGCAGGCCTAAAGACATCGTCCATCCAAAGTGAGGGCGGTGAGATTCTGAGGTTAGATAGTAGCGGGACCCCTGATTAGTAGAAAGATGTATTCCGGAGCAAGAAAATCGCTCCGAAACCTGGAGGCTAAGTCCGCCCCGCCCATCAACGTGTGTTTCGATGCAATGCGTGCTAAATTGGGCTTTAGGTAACTAGGAATTTCAAAATATGATTTTTATGATAAAAGGCGTTACTTTCAGAATCTTTATGGGCGGGACTGTGTCGTAAAAACTCTGAAGCAATTTCGTCCCGGGAATTCATCCTTTACAGTAGAACTCTGGGTTAGGGCCCCGCTGTTAAACCGCTGAATCTCATCACCCTTCGGGTGAAGGTGCCCTTCAGTACAAACTGCTAAAGTCAATGAAAGTTTCATATGCTGTCGTGAGCAAATGCGCGTAGAAGAATGTGCAGAACTTCAAAATATGCGCTAAGTGGGTATTCTTCGTGCTGTTGCCGGCATTGCGGGCGAATTAAGTCAACGACAAATCTGCTGGACCCTAGACACAGATTCCCTCACAGCTTCAATGCAGAGCTGAACATCGTGATAGAAAACGAGAAAGCATCTACAGAGCAGTGGGAATAATGAACGTTCAATGAATGAATCGATTTGAACAACTACACTTAATGGGACAATTCCGTTCATCAATGTCCCGATCTAGAAATGAAGAGAATGCGAATTTCTTGAGTGTCAATTAGATGGAGGCAAGCGATTTGTTTTTGTATAAATCCGGAAATGGCAAATTATCTCAACAGTTTGCAGATTTTCAGAAAGTTTCATCAAGATTTCCTGTAGAATTAGGTACTATCAATTTTTTATTCTTGCCCCTTCTCCTTTCACTTCTAGAATCCAGTATAAACACTGACACCTAGTATGGAATATGGAAGAGTTTTCGAATTAGATTGGTGGAAAAGAAATGCAAGACAGCAGCAGTTTGACTGATAACACGCTGAGACTGCGTGCATACGCGAGCATGCACGCTTCAAATGCGCGAGAAACTTTAGTGAGAGTTTCGAAAGAGAAACTCCGTCAAGTGTAATACCGACATTCTCACATTGGGTACACTATGAGATGTTGACTAAGTATGTTGAAGATGTTAGACAGAGATTATAATTTCTCAAAATTCCATTAAACGCATGACATTCTAACATTAACAAAAAATAGTACAAAATTTTTTGAAATTTATAAAGATTAGGTGTTATAGATGCTGCCCTCAAAAAGTTACGAAAGGCCTACGGATAGATCAGATTAAGATTCAAATACAAACACAAGCCTTGTACTGCCGAAACCTCTTCATCGATTTACTTCCCTTCCTGATGTACCTTGGGTGTATTTGTAGAAAGGAAAAAATCATTTTGTAGTGAGCCAACTCTGGAGCGGCGTTCATTAGGAACTCGAACTCACTTTCTTTCGCAGAGGCGTCAAGCTTTTCTTGGACTATTTTTCGTTCCTTCTCGTCTGAAGTGACTTCGTTCTCAGGTTCAGACTCAATGGCTTCATCATCATCTTCGGAACCCTGTGAATCTCATTCATCCCCCAAACACTAACATATTCTGCTAACTCACGTCGATATCAAGCAGGTTTTTTAAACGATCAACTAGTTGTGGCAACTGTTCAAGTTGTGCTCGAGCTTGATGAGGACGGAATGTCCACGCATGGTCGATGAGGAAAATACTGAAAAATTTGCATGTACTCAAACAATAAATGAGAAAGATGTTCAAAGATCACAACTTACGTACTTGTACTCATCTACAGGATGAAGATCTTTAGTGGCAATGACGCTCCAACTTCGTCCAGCCCCCGTTTCTTCACACAACAGACGAAAATTATCACCCGCATCGAATGTCTAAATGTCATTGCAAATATGTCCATTCTTGTTTATAGCAGGTATCAGCTGAGCCTGACATATAAGTACCACCACTAGGACACAAGATAAAATTTCTAGAAATTGATCCCAGTGCGTGGTGTGATCTTGCCCACTACAGTCTCACAGGCATTTCGTTCAAAAACGAAAAGTTATGATAGGGAGAAATTGGTCGCAAGAAAATCCGTGAGCATTCAAATCAAAGCTTAAATCGACGCAATATCATAATGGACTGATAAACAAAAAAGTTTTTTTTTCAATTTCCTGTCCCAAGATAGCGATGTTTGACAAAACCCCGTTTCAACTGAACTTGATTCATTGGACGAGCATGGGAAAATGATAGATGCACTAAACAAATCCCTATAGCTAACTCTCTGGAAAACAAAAGTAAATTGCTACACGAAGAATATTTAGAAAAATTAGTCCAGTGTAAGTTGTGACACACCTGCTGCATTAGTTTCGAATAAAGGCTACCCCATAGTTCCGGTGGTATACCGCCAGCATCGAGTTGTGGTTTATGCCCCTGCAGGAAGTGTTCGAAACGGTATTTCCCAAATTCCATCCTGCTGAAAAAATTCGATTATGAAGCACGAGGCGCCTCGAGAGGGGCTGCTACGATGAGCGACGACCAAATATTACCAGAATACAAACCAGACTGATATTATCTTTTACTTGGATATGCAATCTTGTAACAATACTCTAGTTTGGCTTGACAAGTTCAGTAAGATGGTAAGCAACCGAGACATAATGACCACACATCGTCAACAAGATATTTATTCTTATACTCTCTGTTCAACAAAGCAAAGAATCAATTCATAAACTGTAGATGACAAAATGCATGGCAAGATTCTGAGTTAGCTGGAAAGTGAATTAGTTTGAGTTATCACAGAGTAATTGAGCAAGATTTTCCTAAGTTCAACGATCAACTGAAAATAAATCGATTAACTATACAAAACAAAATCTACAAAACATCTACAGCAACATTTGCGTCTATGAGAAAACGTTTCCTGCTCAACACAACCCACAGGACCATAAGACTAGGATTTGAGTTAAGACTGATGATTTTCCATATTTGCATGCAATGAGGGCTAGGTCTGAGAAGATATTGGGACAACGGCAATCATAACGCAAAACTTTCTGGATTGATGTGAGGACAACGGGCGACAGTGATGAAACTGAGCAATCAACTGTTTCAGCAAAAAGGTACAGAGTAAAATACATCCAGGTAGTTCGCAAAAGCTAAGCAATTCGAAATTTGGGTGTGGTAATGCGGTAGACGGTATTAGAGCATTGGCAGAGAACAGATTGGTCGCCAAGTGCATGCAAATGGTCGATTACACTTCCAAGATCAATCTGAAGTTTGCTTTTTTTGTTCCAGGTGTTTCAATTTTCAAATGACAAAGAAACTACTTACACGTAATCATAGAAAGCACAGAACAAAGCAAGGACGTGGAAAAGACTTTGAAGATTCACCCACAAGCACCGATAGGTAAATTTCAGAATTTCTCACACCGCAAGCTGCGAGGTTGTTACGAAAATAATCTGGTGTCTTCTAATACTGTCCCGCTAGGTATGCATCAGCAAAAGCTTCCCAGATATCTTTCTTATATATAAAGCTGAATGTCTGTTTGTATGTCTGTCTGTATGTCTGTATGTATGTACGTAAGTTCCGAATAGAAAATTCCATTTCTGAACCGATCGGGACCAAACTTGGCACACATACACTACGGGCCCCGGCGGGTGTCATAGGCTACTCAGGGACTCGCGCCGTGCGGGCGGCCAGCGACGACCTTACAATCGCTCGTTGGTGTGTGCGATTGTACGGTCGTCAAGGGCCGTTGGCACGGTTAACGTGGAGCGCTCGCACGGTCTCTAATGTTCGCCGTTTGCGCGGAGAAAGTCGGCCGCTCGCTTGCTCTTGGAGTAGATGTATTTGCGATATCTTGACCATTTTTCTTGGATAGATCCATCCTTTGCACATTTTGGGAACACGGATCGATGCTCGCAGCATTGCCAAACTTTTCATGGGGAAGCCCTCACCATCACTCTTGATAACTGTAGCCTCACACAGGTTCGTTCCAGCCTTGCTGGTAGAAGAAAATGTTGATAACACGATGTGTCAACGCTTGGCCAGCCTAAACACTGTGTCGTATCTCACACAGGTACCGTTTACGCTCACAATGTGTGAAAATAGTGAGCAGAAAATAGAGGTCACTGTTGGCCGCTTGCACGGCAACATGTATTGCCGACCGATAAGACGGACGCATTGCTGGCCGCTCGCTCGAGCAATTGTATTGCGTACCGATTGCGCGGCGAGATTGCCTGCCGCTTGCACGGGCAAATGTTTGCCGCCCGATCGGACGGACACATTGCCTGCCACTTGCACGGTCGATTTTATTGCGTACCGATTGCGCGGCGAGATTGCCTGCCGCTTGTACGATCAAGTATTGCTGGCCGATCGTGCGGACGCATTGCCTGCCGCTTGCACGGTCGATTTTATTGCGTGCCGATCGAATGGGAAGACTGCCTTCCGCTTGCACGGCATTTTTATTGTTGACCGCACGCACGGTACATCAAAAACTATGCAGTGCGCTCAGGCGGAGGAGCTTTAATGAGGACCGCCCGCACGGCGCGAATCCTTGAGTACTTTTCGTCATCGATCGATGTCGATTTTATCGATTTTTTGCAAAATTTGAGCTACGGGGCTGGGATTTGGCGCAGGGGGGTAATCGATCATGCTGGTCACCCCCGTGGGGGTGATCAGCATGCTCGATTACACCCCTCTGCCAAATTCCAGCCCCCTAGCTCAAATTTTGCAAAAAATCGATAAAATCGATAAAAGTAATGCACGGTTTCGAAAACTAATATTGTGTTCGTAATCGGCATGCTCAATTACACCCCTCTGCCAACTCCCAGCCCCGTAGCTCAAATTTTGCAAAAAACTGATAAAATCGACATCGATCGATAACGAAAAGTGGACTGTGACACCCGCCGGGGCCCGAAGGGTATGTGTGCCAAGTGTGGTCCGGATCGGTTGAGAAATGGAATTTTCTATTCGGAACATACGGCGGAGCCGAATAAGCCAGCTAGTGTTCTATGAAGCAAACAAGCTTCAAAGGACGAGTTCCAAATATCCAAAGTCAGTCAGATAGTAAATCACGCGGCTATGAAAAAGAGATGAACAAAAAAGATAGCAATCCCCGTGAATTGTGAATTTCTCCCGTATATATTGCACAACAAACTGCGAAGTTATACGTTCATCGTTGTAAGTGCACTGACTCCGAATACAATTTTTGCTAAAAAAAATCCGAAAAAAACAACAACATTTTCGTAACTGCTATTATCAACGTTAAATGCCCAGCCTATGAAATTTATGACCAGAATTTTTACTACAAGATGATGTAGGTTCCGATTTCACGTGCTTTTTCAAGTTCATTCTACTTCTATTGAGGTTTTAACCAACAGCCGAAGCATCAATATCTCTGAATGGCAAGCTGCTACACTATTTCATATACCTGCCAAATTATAAGTCAGGAAGGACTCTTACCTGCCGTATCAGTGCCTTGTGCTCCAAATCCCAAAAAGTAAGTGTGCTCTCATAAGTCACTGCCACAATATCATTGTTCAGTGCTATAAGATTTCGCGCAGCTACAGCGCTTTCAAACTGCAATGGCAAAAGAAAGATAGCTGGCACCGAGTTATTATACCCATAATTATTACCTTGGCCAGGTGCTGAGCAATTCGGCTTACAACATCGCCAGTTCTCTTGTTCCAGAGGATCAGATCACCTTCAGGCGAATAACCCAGGAGAAACTGCACAGTACATGCTAGCAACGTACGTCCTAGAAGGTCATCACATAATACTGAGCAACTCCCACCTTTTTAAACGTCCAGAACTAAGCACCTACCCACGCTTTTCGTATTGATAGTTCTCAGCAATTCTCCCGACATCATATTCCACCAACATACAAAACCTTCTTCACAGGCAGAGAACAGTGTCTGAAACGTTACACCTACGAACTGCGGAGGCGAAAAGATAGCGAACAAACATTGTCAGAGTTGTCTACGCACACAGAGATGACTGGACCTCTATGAGCATGCAGCATGGACTGAAGTTGGCTCGATCGAAGATCGAACAGTTTGAGGGTATGATCATAGCTTGCAGAGACCACTGTTAGAGATGACGCCAATAAAAATGAGATAGGTTTCTGGTGGGCGCGGATTGTGTTCAATCGGGTTATGGAAGTCACGCGAATGGGCTAAATATGAGGAATTTTCCACAATCTAAGATTTATCAATCAACATACTCTTTCAGGAGTCAAACACAACTCCAAGAAATCTATCGAACCATCCAAGCGAGCCAGAACTATGCGCGATCCAGCAATCTGAGTGCAGTTGAATCACGCATATATGAGATTTTATTATATTAGGTTGTCCCGAAAGTTTTGTCCGTTTTTTCAAACCACCATAAAACCACGTACAATAAACGCGTTGACTTTCGACAAGCATTCGATGCAGCTTTTCTTTCTCTTTCTTACAGACATTTCCGTACTACAGCTTTGTATGCTATTTCTGATAATTGCCAGAATTCTCCACCCGTCAATTTTATCTGCTCAAAGTTTGGCTAAATTTCAAAAACTTCATTCCAATGTTTTGGAAAGGGTCGAGTATGGATCAAATAGAGCAATTCTTGGACTACAAGGCAGCGTTATTAGATTCTCCCAATCTGCTGTTTTTGGCTCCAAAAAATTATCTCTTCTGAGGTCTCGCTTTTTGGCAAAGTCATGAAAACGCAAATGCAGCAAATACACGAAAACCTTTGCAGTTTCCGCGAACTGAAACATGATTATTATTAAGCATTAATTGTAAAACATAACCAAGCTTAATTGCTTATAAAAAAACAGCTTTTTGGAATTTTCATTACTTTTACGTGGTAAAAGTAACCTGATAGACGTGGCTCATGTAATCTAGAACAGGTACAATGTAGGCAAAGATTTGCTCTACATAACAGTCACCAGCGCTCTTTGAAAACATCAGTATAAAAATTTCTAAAATTCAGAAAAGATTTGGCGTTACTGCTCAAAAAGCCATGGCGATAACATTGCAAAGACAGGGTAAATCAGAGAGCAAATATAGCTGTAAGAAAGAAGATAAAAATATAAATTAAATGATACCTAAGTAGTCCATGGATCGGTGTTCTGTGAGTTTTAGTAAGCGATGAATAAAAAACTTTCGGGACAACCCAAAATAATAGATCTCCACTTACAAGCACGTGTATAACTCCAATTCTGGACTGAAGATAAACCCCAATCAACTTATTCCTCTCAAGGCAGGCTATCTCAACAGATCCATCCGAGCATCCACATACGGTGATAGATTGTCTGAAAGTTCCTGTCTATGAATTCACAACTCTCCTACAACTGATGTAAGTGATCATTGGAGGAAATTTTGAAAAACATATTTGTGAATTTGGAACTGATTCTGATAGCATAAGAAGCACCAGTGGCCGTATTCATCAACGAACCCCGAGGTTAAACTAACCCTGGAGGGTTAGTTTAACCCTGGAAAGCGTTTAACCCGTATTCATGAAACACAGGGTAGGCTTAACCCTGAGGGTTAAATCTAACCTTGAGGGTTAATTTTACCCCGAAAGCGACTGACCCGTATTCATCAACGAACCGTGAGGGTTAAACTAACCCTGGAGGGTTAAACTTACGTGATTCATCAGGGTTAATTTAACCCTAGCTCAGAGCAAGGTTAACTCTACCCTAGCACTTCATACAAACATTTACTCGCATGTAGTTTTATAGAAAACGATTAACGAGTGTTGTAGTACTTAGTATTAGTTGTTATAGTATCTAGTTTCAACTTCGTTTCGTGTTCAAATTCGAAGTACATGAAACACTGACTTCGCGAGAAAAAAAAATCCTAGCTTGGTGACAAATGAATGCAACGAGGAAAAATGGTTGCGCATTCCACTCTGACAAGTGCCAAAACAGAAAAACCCCTCTATAATAACACGCATTGACCCCTAAAAGAGTAGCATAAGCCCGGTATAAAACAACTACGCAAAAGAACTTACACGGCACAATTGCACACATGAAAATAATCCCACGCTGTAAGAGTGGATGCTGCACAAATATGCTAGAGATGTATTATAAAAACTACTGCTAGAAGCTTATTCGTTGATTATACTACTATAACAATGAAAGAATAGAAGTATAAAGTAAATTTAGCGTACTTAGGCATTCTGTGATGTGATTTCGCACAGCGCACGCATAACTGACGCCTTAACCCTCCAGGGTTAGTTCAACCCTCAGGGTTCATTGGCCGTATTCATCAACCATAGGGTTCGTTGATGATTACGGCCACAGGTTCGTTGATCGATACGGGTAGATCGCGTTCCGTGGTAAACCCTAGCCTATGGTTGATGAATACGGCCAATGAACCCTGAGGGTCAAACTAACCCTGGAGGGTAAGCTTAACCCTCAGGGTTCGTTGATGAATACGGCCACAGGTCTACGGTCAGCGTTCAGATTTAACTATAAGAGAAAGATACCAACGAAAACATGTGTTTGCCAAGTTTTGTGATTCTCACTGAGAGAAGTGAGAAAATGAGGAAGCAACAAAAAATATTCGAAAAAGAGAGGAGATTCAATTCTGAATTGAACCTTTGAGTGTAGCAAAAATCAAGAAGACGCATATTCTCCCAACATGTTTCCTACATAATTTCAAAGTAGACCCTACGCTTTCGGTCTTTGGTAGGCATAATAAACAAAACAAAAAACCCTACGTACTTGGCAGCAATGCACCAAATCATCGGCAGCGTTGAAGTGTCCAAGGCTGGATTGCTAACATCCCGAATTCTGCGCAGCTTCAGCAATCGTTCACCTGACAAAACCTCGATCACCTCATATTCTTGCACATGTAGAAGGGAGGGGGGGGGGGGGAGGTTTTGAACGTAAATGCTCACCAGTTTCAGCATTCCAAAGACAGACTTTTCCTTCCTGGCAGCAGGATACGATCGATGAATTGTTGCAAACGGCGACACATTCAATGGGAAAGCGATGCCCGAAAGATATTATGGGTTCCTGAAGATAGGTACCATTGCTGTGAAATCATTTTTCATACTGCTGATAGATGTTTCATATTATATCAAACGCCTAGCTATGAAACTCACATTCTCCACGGGAGATTTGCGGTCCGTCGTTGGTTCCAAAACGCTAGTACGCGGTGAAAGCGATCTTGGTGATGCCAAGGAAGCTTCCTGCAATAACCTGAGGACATCTTGGTTCAGCGCTCTCCTCTAAAAGCAAAGGCGGGAAGGAGGAAGAGGGAAGGCAGGAAGTGTCAAAGAAAAACTTTTCGAAGCTGATCGATGTTTTGGAAAACCCGAGAGATTATTTTTTATCAACGAGAAAGGAAGCATTTATTTCGAGGAAAGGTTGGCAATTATGACCGTTCGTAATGAGACCCATATCACTAGTAGCGTCATAAACGCTGATAAGAAATCTGCTGTCGCTACTCGCTGGATGATTGCATGAAATAAGTTATAAGCTCTTCTGCATAATTTTTGCACACTGAAGCACAAGCACACTATAGCCCAAATCATGGTTATCTCAAATGAAGAAAAACGCAAGTGATACAGGTTATCTGAGCTCGAAATAATAGCGCTCCTCTTTAAATGTTGTCCAAGGAGCGTAACAAGAAAGAGCAAAGTGCAAATTCATGAAAAAACGTTCATAACATATTTCAGAAAGTCGTTGGATAGCAAAGGCAGTTTTAAAATCAGCGCACTTAGCTGCTATCGTCTCATGAGCCCACGGTCACTAAGTATCCTTCCCTTCTAAGAACAGATAGATTCGTCAAGCCAGAATACAACAGCCAGATGTTACACGAATTCATCTACGAGAAATAGAAGCTAAATCTTATTTTTTTCAAAGAACACTTTCCACATCCTCTCTCCCTCTCCCATGCTCACCACCTACTTCAAAATCAAAAGAAAAACGCACCTTCTTCCGAAGTCGTTCGGTTCGCCATTTTCCCCAAAAACATGCATAGAGGACAAATCCAATAACGCTCGAAAGCAGTATCAACCACATTATTGCTAAATAAAGGTGGAGTTGCCTTTCCAACCATGAAATGCGTGATCTAAAAACTTGGGTTGCCTTTTTAGCCATGAAATGTGGGATCCAAAAAAATTATTCGACTTTTCTCTTACACTTTTTAGTGAGAATAATGGATGTCATAAACTTCTGGGAGACATCTTTCAATTGACATGATTCTGACAAATTTTTTCAATTTGTTCGAAAGCTCAAATATTACTTAAGGTTTACGTGCATGTGGCATGGTCGTTGCGTAGAAATGCTAGAAAATTAGAGAAGAAAATGGCCAGCGGAAAAGCATTAGAAATTCTATCTACAGCATCTGGGCGACGACGCCGACAATTACGGCGCTAAAATGCAAATGCTATTCAAAACAAATAAGAAAAAAAATTTGTTGTTACACCTGAGCCTGACACAAGTTTTCCAATTCCACTTATTGTTGGAAGAAGGCGTTGACTGGATTCAGTCTGTGAAATTACCCACTTGAGCGCATTGTTGTCTTTTTCCAATGAAGATGAGACTTTCTGAGATGAGCCCTTGGCTGAGGATGGACGTGGGTAGAGAGCAGGATCAGACGGATCAATCTGAAATATTTCCATTAAACTCCAACTATAAGCGAACTCGACCGATACTCGGTGTTCATCGAACCAATGTACTTACCTTCGTTGTCAGAATGATAGGTGGAACAAATGTGATGGCACCGCTCGAGTGGCTCAGGCTAAACTCTGCGAAGAGTTTCAGCCATCTGAAATTTACAGTTTTCGAACAATCAAAAATGATGCTAGAGCACTGAACGATCTATGCTGGAGGTCGGTCCATGTTTGCCAATGTTGTGGTGCAGAACCTCCAGCGCTGATCTCGTCGGATCCACCTACATATTCAAGGAAAGTAGACCATACTCTTGGCTTCCCCAAAACCTACTTGAAGTGTTGAAAGGGAAATGTCCATGTTCGTGCACGACGAACGCTAGCCATATTGTCCATAACGCAAAAATCACCATGATTGTCCTCTAAAATACAAACTTAGAGGATATTTTTGAATTTCTTGTAATCAATTTTTGCACTACTAACATCGACAAAGAAAATAGAAAAGAAGCATTTGCCTCATACCTGGAATATTCTTGTCCTTGTGACGAAATACAGAACTCTCAATCGATTGCTTGAAATACGCCCCGTAGATGATACTGCGTCGTAATTCCATTCCGAATTGCATGCGGAGTTCGATCGGCATCGACCTAGAAATCAAAGCTTCATCATCACACGTTGCTTATCTGTCCAACTTTTGTCGGAACGCTTATCACCATGCTTTAATTGTGCGTTGTGCGATGACAGAAGACAAGATTACTTTTCAAGCTTCGAAAATTCAGCCGGAACGATCGGTGTTCAATAGTCAAATGGTAGGGGAACGGAACCTACCTACCCGAGATATTCTCACACCTCAGGATGTGTGTCTGCGGGGTATAATTAGGCATAGCGAGATCGCTGATTCCAGATGCTTCTCAGAATAATGCGCTAAGCTAACAATAAGCTTCGCCCACACATTGCACCTTCTTGGCATAGTATCAAGACATGCCGGAAAATTTGGCAATACCTGAGGATATCGAGGCTGGCTCAGCGCCAGAATGTGTTAAAAGGCTGCGAGGCTCAAAGTGGAACTAATGAAGGGAAAAAAGATGGTTGTCATCAGGAGGACTAGGCACACTTAATAATGACTAAATTTCACGCACAGCATTAAATGCCGAAATAAAAGAATCAATTTTATACAAAAGAATCCATAAATCTAAAAATTAACTTATTCGACCAGTGAAAAAAGACATAGATTACAAAAGTCAGGTAAATCTAAAATGCTGAAGTTCACTTTTCCAGTAAGATTCAAGGCAACAGAATATCTCTGTCTAGTCGAATCAACTCTTAACATTTTGTCTCACAAAGGTCTACTTCACTGGAAGATAAACAATCTGAAAATACACAACTCAGTAAACAAAATAATTATTTTACATGTGCCCTATGGCGTGCTTTATTAATTCATCGAGATTCTGTAAGCTGAAAGTCGATTTCACCAGTTTCATAAGATTACCTTACTACAGGCGATGGAAACCAGTCGCATGGGACAAGTCGAAAAGAAATGTTTTTTGAACTTTACTTACATGAGTTATGAAAATGTACAAGGGATCTATTTATATTCCTAAATAAGTGGAATAATTTTTGAACTTAAAAAAACTCTGCAAAAGAATTTTTCGGGGGCATGCTGCCGCTTCGCACCCTTTTCTAAGATTTCGGGGCGGTGGGCCCGCGATTTTCAGAAACGTCCCAAAAATCTTTCAGAGCGCGTGGCTAATGTCACGCATTTTCATTCGGAAAAAGTTCTTCCCCCCCCCCCCTCCCCTAAACGCGTCTATAAACCTGATTCAAAGATTGCCTTGCTTTTCTGCGAACAACTTGAAAGAAGTTATGAGCGCTTAAAAGTCTAACTTTTTTCGCCTAAAGTTGTATGAAATTAGCGAAAATTGCAAAAACGCCTAAAATCAAGTTTATCTTCATGATTACATCGAATTCAAGAAAAGAGTAAGCTAATGAAATTGTAGGAGTTTTTGTTAGTTTTTGTACACCACTTCGCTAACCCTATGCCACTTGAGGTTTGACAAGGCTGGACTTTCAAGGTCTCAAAAGTCCTCGCTCCGCAAAAAAGAAGAACACAGATCAAGAATCAGCGTTTGAGGACGTTTTTGATTACATACATCACCTTCCAATTTGACAATGCGAATTGGCCTCCTTCCTTCATAAAAAACAACTGTAAAGAAATATTATAATGCGAGGATGTATCAAAGACCAACAGACGGTGGTGGTTATTCTGTATATGAAATTAGCCTCTAGTAGAAGGACAGCTGCAAGATATGCTTGCTAAACAAGAAAGGATATGCGTGGAAAATCATCAGAACATCGATCAGAAAATCAAAAATCGCCTGTTTTTGCCTCATGTCAACCAAGTGAAGCAGTAGCATCTTGAAAGCATTTGGACCATTTCAAAAGTAAGGAAATGAGTTCAGCTAGTCATCGGCCAGAATTAAAGATAAAAATATAAGCCGTCTTGAAAAAGCAAATTATAAAGGAGAAGAGAGCAAAAAAATAAAAGCAGAATATTGGAATGGCTAGGCTGGCAAATGGCTTAAAGTTAAAAGTAAATGCTCACAGAGAAAATCCCAAACGACAAAAAACATAGAAAACAACCGCAAAGAAAATTTTGACCACATGTTTCAACTCAGTTTTTTACCCTTGTAACTATGCATATAATCCTGCCGCTTTCCTGCTTTTCCAATGAGGGGCATCATCTGTATGGCAAAAGAATGCATTCAAATCACCGCTTCTGGTGTGTATGTAAACAAAATCGTCATGGAAAAGTCTTTGAGTATTAACAGCAAGAAGTTCTTCAACAAGGAACATTCCGCTGATCAAAATCAGGCCAATAAACATCTGATTATCAACTATTTGAGATGCGTCGAAGGTGAAGTAATGTAAGAGACCACTTTCACAGGAGAAGAAAACACTTCACACATAATAAAAGTGGGAAATGATGCTTTACTAATATAAGCTCTTTCCAAACTACAGATAACATGAACGGGAACCGGTCCGCGAATTCGATGAAAAAAGAAGCACGAGGATCAGGTGAGGTTGGGCATGAGAGGACACCTGACTCATAAAAATTATTACATAACGTCTAAACGAGCTACTATCATGCAATATGATGAAATTTTGAACACAAAGTAAAATCGACAATGGAAAGATTGTCGAGCTCATGGGAACGGTTTCCCCGCAGCAATTAACGAAAAGTATCCGATCTATGGCAAAAAGCGAGCACACATGAGCGAAATGAATGTAACGTGCAACCAAAGAGGGAAAAAGCGGAAGGTTGCTCCATTTTTGGAATGCAGAGCCAGCGGAATATCTGCAGAGCTTGACAAGATGGATCAAGCATGAATTACTACTGCAAAAAAGTGTTACGTCGCTACACAGTAAATGAAAGTAATGTATTACACTATGTAAATCAAATGTATCACGAGAAATGTCAAAAACTGCAAGTGCCTGATGTCTGACGCATAAAATAGAAATGAACAAATCACTCAAATGCAGGTACTCGAGCAAGATCTAAGCGAAAGCAGCCGCGGTAATTAGTGCAGCAATTATCGAGTCAGCTGTGGCAGTTCATTCTTAATGCAAAGAAATGGGATATAGCAACCAGCGAGAGTCACGAATAGAGTTTGCTTCTAGACATTCATTTGGAAAATTTCCACTGACAGCTTTGGCAGATGAGGATGGAAGGATATTCTGACAGCTGTGAGAGAAAATGAAACATTGTTACCATAGCTTCTATGGCAACCAAAACCGGAAAACGAAAAACGTGATATATCAAAGCGAGCATTTCGTAACGATATGTATGACATCCATAAGATTTATGAGGTACATGTTTTCATACATAGAGAGAGAGAGTGGTTGAAGAGAGACAAGGAGAGTAGAATATCACGCCCTTATGAGTGAAAGGTTGCATTCAGCACACGGGTAAAATAATTTTCCGGAGCTAGAATAATGAAAATTTGTAGGTAAAAATTCCAAATAATTAAGTACCACTAGGTGTACAACCGAAACGATGGCAGAACTCAGGATCTGATAAGAATCTTGCTTTTTTGAGGAGCGCAAAAAACATGTAGAAAATAGTTCTGTATGGATAGATCGACAATAAAGACAAACGATGTTGGTCAGAACAAAACGCTTTTCTGATGCAAAAGAGGAAAAAGACTGATTCAACTAAACACATGGTTTTCCATCATCTCGGAAATGGAATGTTTAAATGCAATAGATTGATGGATTCGCCAAAAAAAGAATGATGAGCGATACCGGTTGATATAGTTGAGTTTATTGCATATCGCACCATAGAGATAACCAAGAGAGTTCATTTCTAAGCAAAAAAATGTCTAGCTCAAATGTTTTCGCAGTACCGGGAGATTCCAAAAAATCGAATGTCTATGGCAGCGGCACAGCACGCTAGACAGCGGAGTGCAGTAGTCAACAACCAGTGTTTACCGGATGAAAAACACGACGCAGGATGCACTTCTTATCGATTTCAGGAAGAAAGAGATTACTAGACTTCTGAACAAACACATACCTTTCCTCTCAAAATCTTCTTGTATTTCCCTATCGTCCAACTGTGATTCCGACAACGTGCGCTTCTTCAGTCGTTTCATCTCGAAGAACTGAGGCCAGTATTTGCGCATGGGACATCTAAAGCGAATAATTTCCTAATCAGCTATCCACTTAATGAATAAAATTTCACCTCACAGGTACGAAGTCGTGCAAATGAGGGATGTCTGAACTGAACAGCTTCAGGGCAAATTGCTGCTTGTCTTCAGATCGTAGGCGTTGCAAATCGAAAGTCAAGCAAGGCGCATAAAAGAACATCTGAAAAAACTTCCTGCTTTCCTTAGTTGCTGAGACAAATGAGGACCAGACCTGCATGTAAAAGTCGATGACTAGTCCTATAGAAGCGAACATGCAAAACTCTTGGATTTCTGCAATTCGGGTAGCATAACCAATCCCAAGAAATGTCAGCTCCATCACAAAATACTTGCACAGCGAGTAGCCTTCCTGCGCTAAACCATGGGAAATGCGAGAAGACACATCGAGAAAAGGTGGAGTGTAGACCACTGCTCTACAAGAAAGTATTACGATCCGGAAGTTTACTCAGTTTTACGATAAGTCGTGAGTGAGCTCGTAGAAAAGCATAAAAAGACCTAGATCGTATTCGAACAGCCTTACTTCCTCTTACTAATGACCGAGCTCGAGAAAAAACCACTGAGCGTTTGGATAAGCGCTGGACTTTGCAATATGTTATTTCACCTTTCAACTTTGTTGAAACACGCTATTCTCACATGAGATTTTTCGGAATCGGGAAGTTGTTATGACAGAGCAATTAGGCCCTGCGCAATACTCATAAGATTTCAGATATTTTTCAGTAATTTTAAAAAATAATGTTGTTAGGTAGTGGTCAATTGTATAATTCGGTTATCGCGAAAACTTGAATTCAAAATTGGATCCAAATCAGTTTTTCCCAATTTCTTTGAGCAATCGACTCCAGAAGTATTCCTTTCCAAAAGTAACTTGCAGCATCATGGAAATTTTGTCTTAAAGGTGCAATGTAAAAAAAAACGGACTTCGAAGCTGGAGATATATAGTAGCGCGCAACAACCTCTTCCATGTACATATTACGCTCATAGATTTTCGCATTTTGGAGAAGTTGTGAATTAGGAGACAAACAGATGAAAACTTTCGTGGTGTTCTAATCGTTCTGAAGCTCGCTTGAGAAGGCATTATAGCACCTCTGGAAAAGGAAAATGAGACCCCAGCGAACTTTACAGGAAATCGATCAAATATCAAAAGTCAACGAATTTGATTTAGCTTCACATCAGCATGAAGCTCTGTAAGCAACAATGTTGACTCTCCGTTCTCTCTAGCTTTACAGCTTTCTTGAACCGAGTCTCATTTCCGCGATGCTAGTTTATAGCAACAAAAAAGATCCTTTCAGAATTAAGAATACCTAAGCAGGAAAGAGCATTTTAGAAAATGATGGAAAAGCTCCATTAATCTTTGCCACAAACATGACATTGTACCAACAACAGATATACTATAGTGTGGACCCCGGCCGGCTTCCCATAGGTACCTGCGCGACGCACCCGCAACGCACGCCTTCAGTGCGTCTCCTGTCCTACTCTGACATTCGGTGCGTGCGGCGCGCGCTTGTTAATGGCAAGCAGTGCGGCCCGCGCACCTAGATTTACGGGCGGGGTCATGTACCGTGCGGCCCGCGCGCCTTGTATCCTTAGCGTACGGCCCGCGCGCAATATATCCTCCCCGTGCCGCCCGCGCGCCTCCAATTCTCACACGCTATAAGCGTAATGGGTACCCGCATGAGGTACGACGCTATGATTAGGCTGCTCCATCACTTGTGGGATTTAAGTATCATTTCTTGGCATTTGAGTAATCGCAGGAACATAAGGAGTTTTTTGCTTCTACGGAGGTTATCGCTCGACAGCGTCCCGAATGGGTGCTAAATTTAAATTTTTGAATTCTATGAATTTAAGTTCAAATTTTCGATTTTTTTGAATTCGGAATTTTTTTGAAGTGTGAAGTTGAGAATGCTCACGGCACGACGAAAGAAGAAAAAGAAGATCTATAAAAGACTTATTCTCTAGTAGCTTGCGGACGGAGCGCTTTCGATACCGTGCGGCCCGCGCGCATTCACCGTTCGGCCCGCGCGCACGGAGCGTTCGGCCCCCTCGCACTACAAGGCGCCGCACGGGGAGCACGAGCGCGCCGCACGGACCGAATGTCAGAGTAGCTTCTGATGGAAATCCTCCTTTCTCTCTTTTTTTTTTGTTTTTGGTGTAATATTCTCTCTATTTTAGGTATAAACAATTCGCGATGACCGGTGACGAGACTTCACGTGCTCTATTAATTCTAAGACCTTCAGTCTTGTGTAGTAGTCTTGTGTTTTCCCCTTTTTCTCTGAAAATTTGAGATTTGATTGGATATTAAGATAGTGCTCCTTCAAAAGCTTCTTATATAAGATAAGAGTCCCTTTCGGTATGATGTGTAAGATGTAGACAGGGTCTAAGTCAAAAGTGAGCCTTCCGAGAAGCCAATAGGCATTAGTTTACTGAAATGTCCACTTTTTTGAAATCTTTGACCACTCTAGTTTCTACGTCTACGAAAAGAAATGCTTTGAGAATGCTGTTGCTCTTAAATTTCTCTACGTATACATATTACAACCTATCCATCAGTGCAAGTTCGAAATGTGCATTCATTAGTTGAATTTGAGGTACTCATGGAGGTTGCCTGCGTTTCATTTTTGCATACGTCTCTTTCGAAGTGAACCTAGAGGTTTCCACTGTACATTTTTCACCTTTGTGAGCATAAACATACTCTACTGCTCATGGGTGAGGCGAGAAGCATTAAGAAGGGCGCGCGCCACGTGCGCGCCGCGGAAGTACCTATGGGAACCTGGCCGGGGTCCACACTATACCGTCTAAATTACTCACGATCCTCAGAATCTGTGGGTTTTACAATCAAAAGTATGCTTCGCAGTTCCCTAATATGCATTGTTCGCAAAGATAATGGTGGGCGCAGCGCGTGCGAAAAATCTGCCAATCGCCGCTGATAAGGTTGGGCCACCTCCACCCATCTGAACCGTGACTGCCTCAATCGCTTCGAGCCGGAGCACTCTACAACATTGGAGATCCAATGAAAAGAAAGCTTCAAGACGAAAATCTGCCATGCAGCTGGCTCACAATAAGAGGAAATAGCAAATTACACTACATAATGATCGAGATCTGTCACCACAGCCAGACACTAACAAACGGGCTTGTTGATTGCTAGTAAACAATAAATTTCCTCAAAAACAATTTGTCAGAGATCCATCCATTATTCAAATAGATGCACTAACACACTGCCTATATTAGACCAAAATTCAACGGTGTCTTTTTTTTTTCTGACAATAAGAAGACGGAAGAGGAGAGAGAGAGAGAGAGATCCGAGATGACATAGCGCGGAATAAGCAGAGAAGGAGGACTGCTCAAATAAACTCACCTTGTGATGCACAAAATGTTTTCAAGACCCAAAATAAGGGCTATGTAAGGAAAGATTTCAGCACCCCAGAGAGTGGGGCTCAGCTCCAAGTGAGCACATACGCCTGGAATACATACTTTTCAATGAGGTGAAAGGCCAGACGTAAATCGTAAAATAACGACAGCGAAGCAAATGGTTTACGCTCTTTTTATAGGAAGACAAACATGGAAATGTCTAACACGAACGAGTGAGCGAGGAAACCTATACTGTCACCAGCAGTTGTACGTCAGCCTCCACTCCTTAACTGGCTGCTCCCTTTTCAAAGTAAGCCACCAAACGAGGTTGCTGTGACAGCTTACTCAAAACCCATTCAAGCGCTCGTACAGAATAGGAAGAACAGAAGCAGATTCTGCGCTTATGCTGCGAGTGAAGCCGCCATATTTGAAAGAACGCAAATAAAGCAGGAGTTCACAGATTCACTGTTGGGAAACTACGACGATTTTTCTATAGTGAATATGGAGTTCAGAAGAACCATATAAGGGTCACAGCGCAAATTTTGGCATAACTCGAACAGATTAAGAGAACTTTTGGATTCCGAACTCAAATTTCCCATTCTGCTCTCTAAGGATAGTGGACGGTTCGCACTCCATGATAATAGCTCTAACTTTCTATCAGCCAGCCACCGAGAACGAAGCTTCAAAAATTACATTCGAAAATTTGCGATTTCGAGTTTGGTGCAGCTTCAAAAATCTGTAAATTTCATTAATAGCACTAATAAGTTACTCCGACAGGCTTCGTTCACGCATGGAAATGCAAAAATAGAGAACTTTTGGCAAAATGTCATCTTACGGGAAGAATCTTTTTTATTGCCTTTTCAGCAAAAACACTGTCGAAGACGTTTTGATCTTCGAAACGTCACAAGCTTTAGGTAGGCGCTAGATCAAATTTTTGGTCTCGAATGATTTTTGTGAAGAAACTGCAGCGAAGGGAATTTTTCCTGTATACTGACATGGAGAATTTTCCGTTTTTGCGTTTTTATGCGAAAGCCTTCACAGTGAAGTATAATCTACTACTGTGTAAAATTCCGCAGAATTTTCAAAGCTATTAGCAGCCCTCCGCAATATTCTGGCACCACGCTCAAAACGCAAAATTTTGAAAGCGCAACTGATCTTTTTATTGATAAACTCAGACAATTGGGCGTATCAATAACTATTAGTCATGCAAAGTATTACCAACCTGTAGTCATCAAAAGTGTAGATCCTACGGTGAAAGCAGCAGCCAAAGCAAGGCCACAACGAGATGCTACCATTTCAAACTTTCGAGCAGAGAAGTATAGGTAGAACTGGAGGAAGTATTGACAACAATGGATATTTCAGTGTAAAATTCAACCTACAGTGAAAACTGCATAGGAGCTGAGAAGAGGCAGATAATCAACGAGAGTTCTTCGTGGACGGAAAAGTACGTGAGCAAATTTGTTTTCTTCCTCAGTAATGAGAGGGACGTTCTTGAACTCAGGATGAGATGTAAAACGACTGATCAAAGATTGTCTGGCATCCTTGTCATATCGCACTAGGAAAAGCGTGAGGGAGATGTCGATGGCTAAAAGTCCTTGAAAAGCATTCAGAGAAAGACATACATGGATATGAGACATACTCGGTTTTTGATTGCTACGATAAATCTTTTTGATACCAGTAAACCCGAAAGGCATCCCAAGAAGTAAATCGCGAGGGCAAGCAACCGAGGAACATTCGCGTGAGAAAATTGTAGCGAGAACGTCCTTGTCCTGCAAAGTATCAATGGATGTTCGCCATGTCTGGTAGAACTCTTCGTGGTGACAAAAAAACTCACACTCATAAATTTCTCGTAAGAGTATCCCCAAAACGCAGTGGGTTCAAGCAGCAGGCAACCACGCTGTGGTGTAAAGCTTCCAAATCGTACATTGTCAGACACAACTTGTAGACATAACGCATCAACTTCCTCTTGTGCCAAAATTATATTCCGGGCAAGAAAGGCTCTCGAAAGAGGTCCGCGAACTGCCTGAATTCTCTATCTGATGAGGGTTACGAACGACTGAAATGGTTTGACTTGATCATGTGACTAGATCTGATTCAGCACAAACGGGTCGAGGAGGAAGTCAAGTCCAAAAACGATAAAAGCGGAAATCACATATAGTATGTTTCAACTCTGCTTAGGCGGATTGGACTGGCGGGAGTCCGCTTCGCAACGACTCGCGCCGCTTTGCAGTCTGCATGTCTTCATTCTGCTCTATCTCACTGAGCCTGTGGCGGTGCGGACGCGTTGCTCTACTTGGAAGTTTCGCCTAATCCGGGTTGAAAAAGACTGTACAGAAAGTCGCCAAGACTATATTGAGTTGCAGCATGCGGGCTCCATACGCTCAGTTCTCGATTATCAATGTATTATGGATGCCCGCTGTGGCGAAGGTGATAATTTTTGTGAAAGTGACGCGCGCACCAGAGCATTTAGCGCAACTGTCAGCATGCTCGCTTCGGAGAAACAGTCAAGTTACGCCTCATGCAGCAGATGTAGCTGGTAAACCTTATGGCGCATTTCTTTACATTCACAGAATATGATTTGGTGAGTCGTATGTTTTTTTTTGGAGTTGTGTTTCGTACGTGGTCTTTTTGGAGTTACAGCAGAGTTAGCAAACGGTTAGAGTTAAATGGTTAGTGCTCTACTTAAAATTACCGTGCTAAAGGTCATGGGTTCGATTCCATCCAGCCTAATTTCTGCTGCAGAAACTCTGCTCACAATTCCAGTGTCAAGTTACCCTTCCAAAGATGGGCATGCGACCAGCCGGCTGAGAAACACCCGTCGCATCGACAGTGCAGACATGTCACATAAAGAAACTCGAGTAAGGCCTAAGGCATACCTCGCGCGATTTCGTCAAATCGCTACATCTATGCGACTTGGCGGATTGCCAGATTTCTACGAACCAACCGTGCGCGGATCTCGAATGCATAGGCGCGTGCTTCCATAAGTTGTAGCAAAACCATCAAGTCTGACCCATGCAAAGCGCGCTTACGGCCAGATATGAGGAGTCGCAGCAGTGCCAAATCGCGCAGCGACTGGAATCGCGTGAGGTATGCCTTAGGCCTAAAGGCGTCCCTCGGAAGCGACGCGCATTCGAGCCCGACGAATGCGATAGTCGGCGGATTACCGTCCCAGCAAGGTGAACAGGGACGGCTGAAGCGGCTAGTTCACCGGAGGCAATGATCCAAAGCCAGACTCTCTCCGTCCAGCTACCATCAATATGGATACATTCATTTCTCGTTCAAGTTGGCAGGTCCTAAGAGACGGCGAGTCGACATAGCCTGCATACAGGCAACGAAGTGGAGCTGGCAAAGTTACGCGATATCGGACACGGATAAAGCTCCTCTACAACGGTGCCACCTGCACCAGAAACGGAATCGGTTTAACTGTATCGAAGACCCTAAGGAGCAGAGTAGTTGACGCTGAGCGCATAAGCGATCGTCTGGAGCATAAAGGTAGATACTGGGAGACAGGCCCTACAAGTGATCACCCTTATGCGCCACAAGTCGGATGTAAGGATGATGAAAAAGACGCGTTCCGGCAGGAGCAGAATACCACATCAGTTCAATTCCACTGGATTAGACACTCCTGCCAGGAGCGGATCTCAACGGACATGTGAGAGAAAGGCGAGGAAAAGCCGGAAACTGTCACGTAGGCTACGGATACGGAACATGCAATGAAGAAGGTAAGCGCATTCTAAAATTCGATTCAGCTCACGATCTAGTTTTTTAGCAAACACCTACTAAATCAAGAAGGATGACCACCTCCAACATCCACGAGCGGCGACCGACAAACACAGATATAGTCATCCTCACCCCACTAGTCGCCCTAAGTTCAATCTTACGCATGTTCTCTCTTGTTTGTTTCCGTCGTTGGTTGCTATTATCTATGTTTCAACAACGTTTGCAGATAAAATTGATTTTTTTGTTGTTGCTAAGCGATTTATCATGCTGCTCGTTTAAACTCTGATTTCGACTAAGCCTGGAAGAACAGTGCACCTGGAAACATTTGATGTGAATTCACTGCCGCCATGCTCCACCAGTCTGCGCCAGTTCAAATTCGAATTCATTTACCAAGCAACGACTGAAAGGATGGCTATAGACTTCTGGGTTATTCGACAGTGTGACCACAAAAACGTAAAGGACTGTAAAGCCATTCCCTGAGAGCTGCATACGCCAACTCAGACAAATGACCGGAACTTCCGCAGAGCGCTTGCGGAAGTTCCGCCGGGTCACCTGCGGAAGTTCCGTAAATGTGCTGAGGAAGTTCCGAAATGAGACCCTGCAGAAGTTCTGAAGAATGCCAACCACAATAGCAAAAGAGAACACCGAAGCGAAATTTGAACCTCACTCTATTGACTGTGAGACCCACCTACTATCCTCTACCGGCTGGCATGTTCGATAATGCACTCTAGTTGTTGGCGAGGCAACATCACGAGACAACACATTCTAAGTCCTGCGGAAGTTCTGGCAGGCCAAAGTGCTGCGGAACCTCTGGCATTTTTCGGAATTTCCGCGGGGTTTTGAAGAAGGTTCTGCGGAAGTTCCGGTTTTCAACCAGTTTGGCATGAAGATCCCGCGGAAGTCCCGATTTTCTGTGTTTTCATTTTTGCAATAGTGAACAAAATCCTGCGGAACTTCTGCAAATTTGGCTTGTTCTGCGGAAGTTCCGGTGATTTGTCTGAGAAATTAAACCACTGCTTCTCAACTTCAAAGAAGAGCTGCAGAGACAAGGACACGCATGAAATATTGGAGATGAAGACCAACAACGTGGCAAAAGAAGCACTGCTAACAACTACCAAGCCTGCAAGGGTACCCAAAGCAATCCTGGGCAAGCTTGAAAGATCAAATCCACCAAGTAGCATACATGATCCTGGGAAGTACAAAACCTGAAAAAAAGAGGGATTAATCGAGACACGTAGGTGGACGAAGTACAAAGAGTCATGAAGGAGAAGAGGGATACGAACAAACGATGGCATAATATCCAATCGGAAGATCATTGTCAGACATACCAACAAGCCAAACACAAATCCCATAAAGTGGTTCATAATTATACGAACACCTAAAATATTGAAAGTTTCTGGACTTTTTAGAAGAAACTCAAAAAGCCGTTGGTACCACGCGATAGAGCACAGCCGAAAACGGTTGATCCATAAGAATGGAAATGATGTCAACCTTAGGAGTGTTTTTGCGCCTAATGCGAATTTTTAGCGGTTCATAATTATACGAACACCTCAAACAAAGGTCCATTTTTCATTCAAGATTGCAGTCTTTCAAGTTCAAACTTTTTGTAGAGTTACAGTGACAAAGTCTGACATATCTGCTACACACTGAACCAGTGCAGTTCAAAAAGAGGATCTTTACTTTTTTCAGATGGCTCTAAATGGTGGAGTGGTTGCACTCCAAAAACATCCGTTCTTCTATAGTTCATGCACTCTAATTAGCTTCTACCAAGGCTATGAGATAAAATAAGCTCCTTCGATGGGTATTTTGTTTGTTTGGCGCTCGGAAAATCTTTGCGTTTTCGTGCCGTTTTTCAAAACAGTTCCAAACTTACCCTAGAGTTAACACGACAAGCCTCTAAACTCAGCATCTGAAGCCTTACAATGAAGTAAGCTTATAGCATGTAGAAGTTCACAAGACAGTGTATTTGGCTAGAAAAAATCAGCAACACTGAGCGTTTGTTTTGGCCACGCAGACGTCATTTCACCAAAACCACTGTTTTTACTTTGCAATCACACATTTATTTACTTTGTAGCTGCATAGCCTCAAGAACAGTCCTACAAAAAACCCAAAAACTTTGACATGGATACACATCATGCAAACAATGCAGCTGCTTTTTATCAAGTGTTTGCGCGGGAGAAAGCTGAGTTTTGAGGCTCGAAATCGTGCTAACTTTGAGGTAAGGTTGGAACTTGGTTGAAAAACGGCACAAAAACGCATAAATTTTCCAAGCGTCAAACAAAATACCTATCGAAAAAGCTTATTTTATCTCGTAGCCTTGTTAGAAGCTAATTAGAGTGCGTGAACTACAGAAGAACGGATGTTTTTGGAGCGCAACCACTCCAAAAGCATTTAGAGCCATCTGAAAAAATAATGATCCTCTTTTTGAACTGCACTAAGTTTAGTGTGTAGCAGATATGTCAGACTTTGTTACTGTAATTTTACAAAAAATTTGGACTCGAAAGATGCAATCTTGAATGAAAAATGGACTTTTGCTTGAGGTGTTCGTATAATTACAAACCGCTAAAAATTCGCATTTAAGCGCAAAAACACTTCAAGATTGACATCGATTTCCATTCTTATGGATCATGTACCGTTTTTGGCTGTGCTCTAAAGCGTGGTACCAACGGCTTTTTGAGTTTCTTCCAAAAAGTCCAAAAACTATCAAAATTTAAGGTGTTCGTATAATTATGAACCGCACTTTAGAAGGACCAGTACCAGCAGCCACGGAAGAAGAGGTACGGCTAGCTGTAAGTAGAAAAAAGAATGGCAAAGCGACTGGTCCAGATGACATACCAAACGAATTCTGGAAAATATGTGGACATTCCGGAACCTCACGGTCAACGAGTCTCCTCTATTAAATCATAAGGAACAAGAGTATGCCTGGCGTCTGGTATACCAAAACAACGATCCCGATGTGAAAGAACAGAGGAGACATAGCAGACGCATCCAACCGACCAATCCGACTGATGAGCAACACTCTAAGAATCTTCGAGCGAATAATCGAAACACGACTTCGAATCATGGTCAAGCGTGTTGATGCGATCCGGGACCTTCCTTTACGACCCCCCCCCCCTTGAAAGTGCCCACTCGTACGACCCCCCCCCCACTTCATTTTGCGGTAACCTGCATAAAGAATGCCAATCTCAAAAAATGTTCGCCAATGGACCCCAATCAAAATTATAGGCCAGAGAAAGATAACAATTTACAAATTGAGAGATAATGCAGAAAATGCTTCACTACCATTTACTACTTACCCACTCT